TTTGTCAAGCTGGATGAGCAGAAGCTCGAGCAGAAGGGAATTTTCAATTTTTTTCCTAAATTTCAATCTTTTCTCTCTCCATTTGCAAAATTCCAATCCAATTTCTGGAAAACTTTCCTCAAAGAAAAATAAAACCAGTCTCATTGTCATTTTTTGAAACTTTGTTTTTTCCAAAATGACATTGACACACATTTTGCCTGGCAACTTGTATAATTTCAATCCGATCCCAATGTAATATTTGGTAGTTTCAACGCTGCTTCAATAGTTTTCAAGCTGTGAAGCTTCAAAGTGTTTTTATTTGGATTTTTATCAAGGTGAATGAGCAGAAGGAAATTTTTAGTTTTTTTCCTAAATTTCAATCTTCTCTCTCACTCTCTCTCCATGCAAAATTGTCAATCCAATTCCTGCAAAATTTTTCTCAAAAAAAAATAAAACGTCTCTCAATGTCGTTTTTTGGAATTTTTTTTCCAAAATGACATTGACACACATTTTCGCTCACAACTTTTTCAATTTCAATCCGATCCTAATGTAATTAGGCTCGAATTAAGGACAATTGAATCCTCTACAAATCTCTATTTGGTAGTTTTAACGTTGTTCCAATAGTTCTCAAGCTGTGAAGCTTCAAAGTGTTTTTATTTGGATTTTTATCAAGGTGGATGAGCAGAAGGAAATTTTCAATTTTTTTCCTAAATTTCAATCTTTTTTTTCTACACTTGCAAATTTCTACAACTTGCAATTTCCAATCGCTGCAAAATTTTCCTCAAAGGAAAATAAAACCTCATGGTCATTTTTTGGAACTTTGATTTTTTCCAAAATGACATTGACACACATTTTGCCTGAAAACTGACAACTTTTTTAATTTCGATCCGATTCTAATGTAATTACTCTTGAATTAAGGACAGTTGAATCCTCTACAAATCTCTATTTGGTAGTTTTAACGCTGCTTCAATAGTTTTCAAGCTGTGAAGCCTAGAAGTGTTTCTATTTGGATTTTCATCAAGGTGGATGAGCAGAAGGAAATTTTCTTTTTTTTTATATATTTCAATCTTTTCTCTCTCCATTTGCAAAATTTCAATCTAAGCCCTGCAAAACTTTCCTCAAAAAAAAAATAAATAAAATGTCTCAATGTCGTTTTTTGGAACATTGATTTTTTTCCAAAATGATGTTGACACACAGTTTCGCTCACAGCTTTTTTAATTTCAATCCGATCTCAATGTAATTAGGCTTGAATTAAAGACAATTGAATCCCCTAGAAATCTTTATGTGGCAGTTTTAACGCTGCTTCAATAGTTTTCAAGCTGTAAAGCTTCCAAGTGTTTTTATTTAGATTTTTATCAAGGTGGATAAACAAAAAGAAATTTTAATTTTTTTCTCCTAAATTGCAATCTCTTCTCACTCCAATTGCAAAATTTCAATCCAATCCCTGCAAAATTTTCCTCAAAGAAAAATAAAACTTCTCAATGTCGTTTTTTGGAATTATGATTTTTTTCCAAAATGACATTGACACACATTTTCGCTTACAACTTTTTAAATTTCAATCCGATCTCAATGTAACTGGGCTTGAATTAAAGACAATTGAATCCTCTACAAATCTCTATTTGGTAGTTTCAACGCTGCTTCAATAGCTTTCAATCTGTGAAGCTTCGAAGTGTTTTTATTTGGATTTTTGTCAAGGTGGATGAGCAGAAGATTTTCAATTTTTTTCCTAAATTTCAATCTTTTCTCTCTCCATTTGCAAAATTCCAATCCAATTTCTGGAAAACTTTCCTCAAAGAAAAATAAAACCAGTCTCATTGTCATTTTTTGAAACTTTGATTTTTTCCAAAATGACATTGACACAAATTTTCGCTCACAACTTTCATGATTTCAATCCGATCCTAATGTAATTGGGCATGAATTGAGGAAAATTGAATCCTCTACAAATCTCTATTTGGTAGTTTCAACGTTGCTTCAATAGTTTTCAAGCTGTGAAGCTTCAAAGTGTTTTTATTTGGATTTTTATCAAGGTGGATGAGCAGAAGGAAATTTTTAATTTTTTTCCTAAATTTCAATCTTTTTTCTCTACATTTGCAAAATTTCAATCCAATTCCTGCAAAATTTTCCTCAAAGAAAAATAAAACGTCTCTCAATGTCGTTTTTTGGAACTGGATTTTTTTCCAAAATGACATTGACACGCAGTTTCGCTCACAACTTTTTTAATTTCAATCCGATCTCAATGTAATTAGGCTTGAATTAAAGACAATTGGATTCTCGACAAATCTCTGTTTGGTAGTTTCAACGCTACCTCAATAGTTTTCAATATGTGAAGCTCCAAAGTGTTTTTATTTGGATTTTTATCAAGGTGGATTGACCAGAAGGAAATTTTTAATTTTTTTCCCAAATTTCAATCTTTTCTCTCTCCATTTGCAAAATGTTAATCCAATTCCTACAAAATTTTCCTCGAAAAAATAAATAAAACGTCTCATGTCGTTTTTTGGAACTTTTGATTTTTCCAAAATGACATTGACACACATTTTGCTTCATAACCTTTATAATTTCAATCCGATCGTAATGTAATTAGGCTTGAATTAAGGGAAATTGGATGCTTTACAAATCTCTATTTAGTAGTTTCAAAATAAAATTATAAATCAAAGTTTATAGATTTATCGATTTTTTAAACTTTCAGTTGGCTGATGCTGACAAAACCCATTTATCAAAGTTGGGAAATCAATTTTCTAAGTTCTAATACCATTTGACCTTTAAAAAATCCTACACTTGGCATGGGACGCATTTTCCGAGGCATTTTCACTTATTTATTTAAGTTTGAAAGCACCAAGGAAAGCACTTATTTGAGGTTTTCTGAAAATTGGAAATAAATAAGTACCTAAATAATCATTATCTTCATGGATTTTTGAATCAATATAGTAAAGTGATTTACATGTAGAAAAATAATTACTGAGTATCTCTTTCTTATTAACTGAACCATCATTATTCAAAAAACCTCCCAGAACTACATATTTAATTAAATCATTTACAGATGGTGTCGTACCAAATGGAGAGGCTCAAGCATTTAATTAAGCGCGGAGAAAGTTTAATCGTGATTTCAACTCGGCCTGGTCCGAGAATTATTAGAAAGTTAATAACGCATTGGTGGTTATCCTATTGGTGTGTGCATATGGGGTACTGTTCTCGTGACCTCACAAGCGCGCCAAGATACAGAGAACCAGTTTGAATAACCCATGCAATTGGATTGCCGAGGCTGCCCATTCGATAGTGCATCTGGAACTTTGTGTGTGTAGCTTTTATTTTATGTTCTATTAAAATTTGGTTGCTTTCAACATAAAGGTTCTTTTTACCTTATAATCATGACTTATATTGTAGTATAGAAATTTTGACCACCTTTTTTATGTCGGGGCAATAAATTCTCAAAAGGGTCCAAGATTTATGGCATTGTGAAATGTCATTTTCAGTTCTAGTTTAGCCTAGATGGCTATTCATAGTAGGTAGGAATGTGAGCTTTTTTTCTTATACATACAACAATCCTGTCTTGTGCCAAAATCATAAAATATTATTGTTTTTGACCTTCAAGCCTTTTTTTTGGGATTTTTCTTGGTATTTTGAATTTTAACTAGAATTTCCAAAATCGCCTCTAGATCTTAAGCCTAGAGTTTTTTGGTGTTTATGACCCAAATTAGTGAGTTTTATAATATGAAGATCAAGGTCGATTTCTGGATTTTTTGATCTGATTCAGGGTTGGCATAGAATTTCCCCAGGCTATAAAACCCAGTGGGGTTTTTCGGGGGTTTTCAATTGATAAAACCCACCATTTTTTTGGGTTTTTTCAAAAATAGCAAATTTTCAGTTGAAAAAACGTCATTTTTACAGGAAATATCACGAATTCTTCGAAGATTCCCCAGTCCCTGGCTGTTCGCTGTTGGCGTGGAGGTCTGGGCAAGAACTATGTGCCATGTAGAATTTAGAATTCGACATATCGAATGTGCCAAGTCCATAGAATCCTGTCGATATGTAGAATTCTACATGACACGGAGTCTCTGGACTGGCCAGCCAGAGGCGTGGATGCAAAGTGTAATTAATTATGTATATCAAGTGGCTTTCTTTATTTTGTAAGGATATTTTATTTTTGCAACAAAAGTCATAATTTTTGTAATACTTTTGTTAGAGCAGAAACCGAGGCAGAAACTATGAATCAAATTTGAAGAAAAAAAAAAACAGAAACCCCCAGGAAGTCCGAAAAAACCCAAAAAACCCAATGGGTTGGACTTTTTCAAAAAAAACCTGGGTTTTTTCCAACCCTGATCCGATTCCAATCAGACATGCCCAGCTGACATGAATGTGCTGAATAGCCAAAATCTGAATCCTAGCAACATTTTTTCTATAAATAAAAATAGAGTTCACTGCAAAATAGTCTAAAAAATTTGGGGTCACTATTTTAGTGAATTTATGCCTTTTTTTAGAAAAGTACTCCCAACAATTCCTATTGAGTGATTCACTCGGTGATTCGTCAAAATACAATTTTACATATTGAGTATGTTCTAGTCGGTTCTAGTTGTTACCAATTAAGTATCAAGCCAATTATTATTGTGAATGTCTTGCTTGATTTCTTGGGAAATTCTTAAGGAATTTCATAGGCATGTTGAGGTAGAAATAGGAAAATCTGAAGAAGAAGCTGTACCTATCATTTTGCATGTTACAGTATTTTCTGTGTATTTAGAGATACAAATTATATGCATAATTCACCCCAGAGTGATCTATCACAAAATATATTTAGTGCACAATGCTCTGGTACCTATTGAGGGGTAGGATGTCAAGGTATTAATTCAAAATTTTCAGGCATTTCAAGGAAATTTGTGGGTATTTTCAATTTTGGAAATATTTCAAATGAATTTTAGCAATAAAATCCATAATAAGTAACAAAGCTTCAGGTTCTTCAGTGCACATCTGGATTACTTACCTACTACAGTATCCAAATACAATTATCTATGTTAAATAAAATAACTTACCTAATATAAATAATAGATCCATTGTTAAGTAGTCTCTTCCAGCCATAAGGTACAGTGGTATGCTGAGGTTGATTAATCCCAACCAAAGCATTGCCTTGGGCATGCTGTGGTGCAACTAATACAACCCCACCAGGTCGCACACTCAAACTGGAATCGTACACAACCATGTCCGAGGAATGATTTTGTACAATAACCATTCCTTCATCACTGGAGCTCAGACTGCTGCAACTCGATTCGGCAGCCTCTGAACGCACTGAATCACATCTAACACTTTGTGTAGGTACTTCGTTATTCAAAATAGTCACATAAGGGTCTATGTATCGTTCTCTATTATCACAATCATCGCGTTTGAGGTTGTCAGGCCGTCCGGGGCCTGTTTGCTGCCTATCAACTTCGTTGGTAGCACAATTTTTAATATTGGTCGCATTTTGGTAACCAATTGGAAAGCCGACGTTCTGGAAATAACCTCCTTGCGTGTTGGTGTTGACTATTTGTCCGCTGGAAGTGAAGATTTGTTGTTTTTCTCCAAAATTCTTTGTTTGGGTCATGGGGGCCATCGGATGGCTGGTGTTAGGATACCCGGAAGGGTGCATGTTTCCCTGTTGGGGCACATTTTGCTGATGGTGTTCGACTGCATAGGATTGAGCGAAATTGTCATTTGAAACGTAAACTACCACATTTTGGACGTTGGCTGTTGGATTCAGATCAGGCTTTAAAGCCATTGTGACTGCATATCAACAGCCCCCTCTTAGAGACTACTCCTATGCCAGAAATGTTCTGAAAATTAATTATACTAATATAGAATTATTGCCCTAAATTTAGTAGTTTTGCAAAATGTTTTGTAATAATAATAACTATTGCTATATTACCTGCATGTCGTATAATTCTTCCTCAAAATATTCCTCCTATGAAAATTTACCATTACAAACTATTCCTAATAGGAAAATATCGGTTTCAATTTAAAATCCTCTGCTGTTGTTTTGGTATAGTCGACACTGGTTAACCCAACACCTGTCTAGGAAATTTGTATTTATTCATTTTTAAAAGGCAACTAGACCACCATCACGTCACCAAGACGGAACGCGAATTTTCTACGCGCACACACACACACATCTAGAAGAAAAAACACCCAATTTTCCAAAGTAAACAATCCACTTTTTTAGCTTTCACTAACACCGCGTAAAACTGAACACTGAAAAATGAAAACCATCTCTACACTCCCAGAAGTCCTTGCGACAGGGCGCCATATTAAAATCTGACAAAAACAAATCAACATAGGCGATTGTGTTGCCATCTGTTGACCAGCGGACAAAACTTACTACAGTTTTAGTATGAAAAACTGAAATTTAATTTATAATTATTCATATTAATAATTCTTTTCAGTAGTTCTAAATAATTCTTAGCAGAAAGTAGTAACTTTAGTGATTTTATACGCCGTTGTTGCATATAAAGTTAATAAATACAGATTTCTGTTATATCAGCTGCCGCTTTCAACAGAAAAGATTGTATTGCTGTTTCCAAAATCACTGCAAACTCTTAAAAATTGAATAAAGCTGAGTTTTTCAGTCGCACCAAACTGCCTGAAAACTGTTTTTTTTTTTAAATGATATAATCAAATCAGCAAAGTCTTTTTCTAATTTCATAGATGTCGCCACTGGAAAATACAAGGTCAGTGATGGAATATACGCTTAAGCTCAGTTCACATGACGCAAGAAATCGCTATGCGAAATTATTTTTTGGTTATTTTAAATTTTCTAAGTCTAGCGGAAAAAGTTCAATCGAATGCTTTCCTTAAAGTCCTGTGACTATTCACCTTTGACTAGTCAAACTTAAATAAGTCGTTTTTGGATTTTGACTCCAAATTCTCATCTGCATTTTCCTATTTCAAAAAGAAATCTTTTATTTGCCTCGGAACTTTCTTGGTTCTGGAACATGTTGACAGCTCCCAATAACAGAGTAATAGTTTTTGAAACCAAGGAGACTACACACTGAGTGCTTATCGGCTTCGTTTTTGGTAATCGCCGCCATATTGGTATGCCACCATTGCCGACGTCATAATTAAGTCGACAGCTGCCTACAGCCTACGTAAAGGCGAGAAATAACATGCTGCCTACGTCACAACTGGTATTTTATCTTGGTGGTGATGGGTCAAGGGGGGGGGGGGATTGTTACACACAGGCCTTAGGAGGATAGGCCATCCTCAAGGGTTACGGGCCGAAACTAGGCTTAAAGCCTAATACTCATAAACTGCGAAATTCGCTCTTTTTTGACATTGGGTAAATTCAGGCAGTGCCAGCGGCTAAGTTCAACCAATCAGCAGGGATTTTATTGTCGAAACAGGGGAGCAGCGTTCTCATGAGAATGAAGGTTCTGTCTTCGTCGTCTGTATATATTTCCATAACACTGACAGTGACAGAGCAATCGTTCTCATAAGAACATTGTTCCTCGGTTTTGAGAATAAAGTCCCTGCTGAGTGGCTGAGCTTAGCCGCTGGCGCCGCCTGAATATACCCATTGCTTCGACAGTTTGACGTTTGATTCACGCATAAAACGTCAAATTGTCGAACCAATGTCAAGAAAGAGCAAATTTCGCGGTTATGAGTACTAGGCATAGGCCCGTATTCATAGTCGATGCTCAAGGTTGTATCTTGGCCCAAGTACGACTTGACGCCATATTTACGTTTCCAAACAGCACGGAACGATGCTCACAACTGTCAAAAATCGGAGCTTGAGCCAAACACCCGTCTATGAATACCGCTATAAGATAGGTATTGGCACTTTCCAAATTTCACCGATAAATTGACCGGTTGAATAAACCGGTAGCTGTCAAAAAATTCCGGTAAAAGTTAGGTGCAAGTCTGGTTACAAGATTTTTCTGGTGCATTTTGGAACGCTTTGGTCAGAAAGTTAGGTGGTGTTGCTTGTTGTTTGGAATGTATGATGGTTTGATGTGGGGTGCAATGATGAGGCTCGTATGTATTTTTATTATTTTTAACAGTCAACAAACGGTCGTTTTCAGTATGATTTTTGTAGATTAGATGAACTGACTGTTTGGTTTATCGAGTTCATAATGAATAAAGATAAAATTGTTCACGCCCGTCGCCCACGCACAAGCATTTTTTTATTCTGCAATCTGCAAGCAGCAATTTAACTTAACGATAGACTACCAATAGTGCCCATTCAAAGCAATTAAATTTATGTACGTCAAAAAAAAAGTGTCAAAAAATCTCCAACCGAAAAAACCGACAAAAATTCCCGGTGGATTCGGTGCCTCACCGGTTTCAAACAACTGATCATTCCGGTCAATCTTGGAACGAACAATCGGGTTCAGCCGGTAAAAGTCGGTACATTCTGGAACGGTTTGGTGAGTAAACTGTTAAACCGGTATCGCACCGGTTCAGAAACTGGTGAATTTTGGAAAGTGCCCAATGACATTTCAGGCCCTAACTGGTTCTTTGACGCCTCATAAACAAACCTTATGTGATTACAATCAGTTTGTTCAGATCGGAAGAATACCTGGATTATTGAAGATGAAATAATTGAAATTAGGTCTAGAATTTTCCGCAGAATCCAGAAATATCATAATATACTAGGGCTACCATATTGAAAAAATAAAGTTGATAACCGTACAGCTGTTCTTGAAACACCCTATGTAATAGATGATATTTATTTTATTAGGAGTATAAGTAATACTTATGTGACGCGCATGGAAGTTTGAACGCCGAGCGCAGCGAGGCGAATCAAATCCATGCAAGTCGCATGAAGAATACCTACTTATACTCCAAATGAAATAGAATATTTTATTTTCAAACAATCTTTGTCCGAATTAGGCAATTCAAACCACGTGACTTTCAAGATGGCGTGGCGGCCACACATGGGCCAAAAAACAGAAAAAAATATCTAGAATCTGCTCGATTTATTAGTTTAGGTACCTAGTCAACAAATATTTTATTAAATAGTCCAAATCAAAGTTGCAAGCAAAACTCTAAGCAAAATAATTTGAAATACGCATAAAAACACATTCAAAACAAACTTGCTTGGCCGCCACGCCATATTGAATTTCCCTATCTGACAGATGGATTGAATTGCCTAATAGTGCAGAATTTTTAATTTAAATAATGACATTCATATTTAGAAGTAATTAATCTGTGTTTAGAAGTATCACCTTTATAAACACCTATACCTGTATGTACAGGGCTGCGTTCAGGAACGGCTACAACCAAGCCAAAATTGGTATTTTGCGTTCGAGTTCGGCTCCAACCTACGTGTTTCGGCATTGTCGGTGGAGGGGGAAAAGTAAGTTTTGGCATTAGCATTGCCGTCTTTGAACGCACCCCAGGTAAACTACCTTAAATCGCTATGGAAAAACATGTGTAACGGCGTATATGTTATACTCCGGCGCAGTATAACACTTATACGCCGCTCAAGCTGAAAGTCATTAAAGTGACACTTATACCTTGACAAAATGATCACAAAAATTACTGTTATATGACGTTTGAAAATAAAAAAATTAATGTGAAAAAATTTTGAGCAAAAAATCTTGATCGACGTGTTTTTGCGTTTTGTCCACATATTTCATATCTGACGGCTCTAGCGAATTAGTTCCAGTTAAAATCCCCACCCTGTATATGGTTCAAAATGATAGTACATTATATACCTAGGTAAAAAAGTTGGTCATTATATACCGAGGTTTATAATGCGTAAGGTATATAATATACTTCTGGACAAAATTATCGCACCACTGCACATAAGCATCACCATAAACAGTGGTGCGATAATTTTGTCCAGGAGTATAGCTCTTTTCACGTGGCTCCGGTTTAAACTACCCGGGTTACTACAAAACGGTTAGAGAAATGACAAACCGTTTACTAACCCGGTTACAAAGTGACGTGATGGAAACCTACCACTCGAATTTGAGCGTTATGTTGCGGTTTGTTAAACCGGAGCCACGTGAAAAGGGTCAATGACTTTCTCTACCGAGGAAAATATAGAATTTTTTTCACTACTGCTGGTACAAAATAAAAAATAGGTTTGAAATTTGTGTTCAAATTATTTTTTCTTGTCGAAAGTGCTGCCCTCTATCAACAGCTTATGGTAATTTTCTATAATGTACATACAGGAACCTACTTTTTTTTAAAATTGACAGTTTGACACTGAAATTGAACCAATAGAAACCTGTTACGTTATGACAATATCCTTGCGTCATGACGTCATTTTCATTATTGACCTAGGTATTTTTTCATTATTAACCTAGGAAGAGAAATTCAATTTTTTCCCAAAAAAATTGATCGAATAATGCCCACTTCTCAGGTTAGTAATAAAAAAACTACTTTACGCACTGGTGCGTGACATTTTATGTCTTCTAAAAGGTGCGTAACGTAAGTACTTTACGCGCGGTAGTGGAAAAAAAACAATTATTGCGCCTTATTCACTCACAGTCGGGAATGAGATGTTGTATCCATACTTATACAGGGTGGTCCATTTAAATTGAGACATTTCAATATCTCGAAAATGGCGCGTTTTTGAAAAAAAAAAAAGTTCAATAATGTCTTAAGTTCAATGGCCCACCCTGTATACCTATTGTATATCGTGTGCTAGAAACTTAAAATTACCAATTTTTCATTAATTATGAAAATTTTGCGACTAAATAAAAGAAAAAGTAAAGTCTGTTTTTTTTTTAAGATAATTCCCCAAGTCAAAAATTTAGTAACTACATTGGCAACGCAAGCCTTCTCTACATAAAAAATTTGAAAGCATCGACAATTTAGCATTGTTTTGCCAACATAATGTCATTTTGACTTTTATTTAAAAAAAAAAAACAGACTTTAAAAATTCCGCTTTCCGCTTCTACCCTTTGCGAACGAAAATAGAAAATTTCCTCAAAAAGGCAAAAAGGGGATTATTCCGTCAAGCTGGCAACACTGTGGCTGACTCGTTATCAAACGCAAGGATATCAACAAAGCATTTGATAGGTTGGATATAAGCCCCGTCCCTTTCCAATCAGATGCGAGTGATATCAACAGGGCATTCAATTGGTTAGTTAAGCCCCGCCCCTTTCCAGGGTTTATGTATCGTCAAGGTATTTGATTGGTTGTTTCCTTTTCAACCCTTTCCAATGGCCCCGCCGGCCCACCTACAGTGACTAAACCTTTTCAAATAGAAATTCGGTACCGCCCCAATATTCTTGTTAATTTTGAATATGAATATATAGAAGTTAGCCACGCCCCTGTCGTCATACTTTTGCAAATTTTTTGATGTTTACTCAGATATTATTATTAATATAATTATTATCTAAGTATATATTTATTTATTCTTTATTTTTCAATTTTTCCATCTCATATTTTGTCTATTCCCGGATCTCGAATTTCGTTTTCTTCTTAATTTTTCTAATGGCCATTTCCACCAACTATTTTAATAGGGAAGGCCTAACAATAGGTAGGTAAAGGCCTTAAACTGACATTTCTCCATGTAAAAATGTCATTTTAGGGAATACTTATCGTTAGGGCTCCCCTAAAATAGTTGAAGTTTATAATGCGTGATGCGTTAGGTATATAATGACTTTCTCTACCGAGGAATATATAGATTTTTTTCACCACTGCTAGTGGAAAATGAATAATTTGTAATCTGTGCTCTAATTATTTTTTTTGAACCCTCTCCAAAGTGGTGCCCTCTATCAGTATCAACAGCTTATGATAACTTGCTATGTACCATCGTCACCAAAAGTAACTGGGACAGCATCACATTAGCTCTTGTCCTATTATATGAATTTTATTGTCAAATATTTGTCAAACTATGCATTAAATGCATTGAAATGAATGACAGTAGAATTAGACCAGGAGATTATTATGCATTATTTGTGTCCCAGTTACTTTTGGTGACGATGGTACCTACACAAACCTGTATTTTTTTTATTTTTATTTAACATATGAAGTTGAAATTGAACCAATAAAAAACTGACTTATCCTTGCGTCATGACGTAATTTTCATTATTAACCTATGCATTTTTTCATTATTTTCATTATTAACCTAGAAAGAGAAATTCAATTTTTTCCTAGAAAAATAGATTGAATAATGACTATTTCTCAGGTTAGTAGTAAAAAAAATACTTTTATTTACAATCATACATGTAATGTTGACTTTACTGACTTTTAAAAAGTTCGAAAATGTCACTTTTTTGACTTTTACTTTCGGCCCACGGGTCGAAAGTTTACTTTCGACCCGTGGGCCGAAAGTAAATGAAATTTTTAAAATTTATTGTATTTTTTGACTTTTACTTTCGACCCGTGGGCCGAAAGTAAATGAAATTGTTAATTATTGTATTTTTTAGTTTTAATCCAAATGAAAATTTCGAAATTCGAATGATTGTAAATAAAATAGTATACATACCTCGGTGAAAAGTTTCATTACTGTCTCGAGATTTTAGTTAGACCTCGGCTGTGCCTCGGTCTAACCAAAATCTCTCGACAGTAGGCCTATTCGGGTTTGGAAAAAGTACGGTTCTAGAACGGTCCAGAAGAATCGCACAGTTTATTATTGAAATTTGTGATAGTCGAGTCGTTGTTATTTTGTTGATCAATAAACTGGACGATTGGTTTGAACCGTTCTAGAACCGTCCTTTTTCCAAACCCGAATAGGCCTAGTAATGAAACACTTTCCACCTCGGTATGTAATATACTATTATTTACAATCATACATGTAATGTTGACTTTACTGACTTTTAAAAAGTTCGAAAATGTCACTTTTTTGACTTTTACTTTCGGCCCACGGGTCGAAAGTTTACTTTCGACCCGTGGGCCGAAAGTAAATGAAATTGTTAAAATTCATTGTATTTTTTGACTCTTACTTTCGGCCCACGGGTCGAACGAAAGTAAGCTTTCGACCCGTGGGCCGAAAGTAAATGAAATTGTTAATTATTGTATTTTTTAGTTTTAATCCAAATGAAAATTTCGAAATTCGAATGATTGTAAATAAAATAGTATACATACCTCGGTATGTAATATACTATTTCTACTACCATGCGTAAAGTACTCACTTTACCCACTATTTAGAAGACGTAAAATTTCACTTCACGCACTAGTGGGTAAAGTAATTCACTTCACACACTAGTGTAAACACGCTTTTACTTCAAATTTCATGGCTTATAAACCATAACACCTGTTTTTATGTCAAATAAAATGTGTCTGAGAAAAGCTGTATATAAAAATATTGTGACTTTTTGCCTTTGGAAAAAAGGAATTTTCCTAGTGTCTGTGATGTAATTTTTATTTCAGCAATCACAACAGACAACGCAGGTCAGTTCGCCTTCAAAACCTCATTTCATAATCTCTATTTTTGATTTAAATTTAAATTGCCAGTGTATTTTTAGCAGTAAAAATTTTTGATTATCAACTTGGAATCTACAATGAGTGAAAACAAAAATTTCATCATGGACGAAATCAACAGCGTTTTCGACCGATTTGCGAATTTATTAGAAAGGGACATCAAAGGAGTTCATGTAAGTCAGTAAAATAAAAAATTCTAGCAATGAGTATATATATAATTGTATGTAATATTTTTTTAGATTGGATGTTATTCAGTTGCCCTAATTTCTTTGACCATCGCTTTAAGAAAAGTCCGTCCTGTAAGTATCAAGTTAAATGGGCCACCCTGTATATTCATTATCAAATCTATCCACTAATAAATCAATCCTTTAAAGTTTAGCAAATTCAAACGTCCCAACGACATCCCGAATCATTTCATAAACGAAAAAAGAGAGCTTACAGGACAAGTAAAAAGCATAGACCCAAATGGTACCTTGCTTATGGTAGAGCACAAACCCTTAGTGGATATACCATTAATTAAATCTGGACAGCTTCCTGTTAAAATTTCCGGTATCAATGTATCAGGACTGGGTATGAACTGGATACAAAGTGTTGTTGTCAATCGAGAAATAAAATTCGTTCCTGTTAGTAAAGATGCTGATTTTCTTCAGTGCCAAGTTATACTGGTGCAAAAAAACAAAAATGTAAGGAGAAAACTATACAATTATCATAATTATTAAGATTAAATTATTCTAGAAAAGAGACGAACTTTTAAATGTCGGAGAAAGTCTTGTTAAAATTGGTTTTGCACAACTAGCACCCACTCATTCATTAGCACAAGATCCAGCTTTGCTCAGCTACTTCAAAAAGTTACAAGCAGCAGAAAGTGTGGCCCTTAGAAATCAACTAGGCCTCAAGTACTACATAAAGCCAACAAAAGCCGCCTTGCGTAGCTTAGCCAGAAACTTAACCAACCTCTCGAAATACCTAACGTTTGTTGTCCAACAACAAATACAGAAGGTGCCCCAAATGGCGAGGGCATAGCAAAGAATTTTCGTCATAGTGAGCGAATGTATTTTGGTTCTTTTACAATGCGTAGGCGTTTACAGGATTGTACAATATTTCTTTTTTACTGAACGATATACAGTGGCGGAGGATTTGGCTGAATTGTCTGAATGGTTTGAGAAATTTAAAATTCACATCAATAAATGGTGGAATGGTGAAATATGAACGTAAACTTACAACAGTGTACTTACTTTAAAAGAATTTTGAATGCTTTAGAGGTTTTTTTTTTCAAACTTATTTATGTTTATATACCTAGTTGCTGTTTATATTTAAATTCTATTTTATTTTCTGACAATAAACAAATTGTGATACTGTTGTTGAATGAATAAATTACTATAATTTGTTGAATATTACCTTAGACTTCTGTATGTGTTAGGCAAAAAGTATTTGTTTCTATTCCAAACTCTCGAATTTTATCTATTTAGAATAATTTGGAATAAAACGATAATTCAAGAGCCAGAAATAGATAAAAATTGAGAAATATAGGAGAAATGTAGGAAAAATAAGAAGACCTCTGAGAAATCTTAGGGGGACTTTCAAAGCTCACTCATTTTAGAATTTTTTGGGCTAGCTAGCAAATCAAATACAAGTAAAAACTTATTTTGAGCCCAGCGGGCCGATCCTCGAGCCAAGGAGTTAAGCTCCTCAAGAGAACAAATTTTTTGTCTTTATCATTCTCATTCACTTTTCGATTACATTGACAAAGACAAAACATTCGTTCTATCGGGGAGCTCTTCTTCCTGGCCTGAGGATCGGGCTTCTGAGCTACACAGGGCTGGTATTACTTCCAGCAATAGCAATTTTGCCATAAATATTTATTTATTCATGGATTAATCAGCTAAGTAGAAATTATTTACAAAAAAATATCACTTAATCTAGCTCAACCACAACAGGAAGCTCATCCTCATCTTCAGATTCCAAATGATCAAAGTCCCACTGAAACAATTCGGTCAATGTTTTTTTCAACCTTTCAGCTTTGCATTTTAATTCGCCATCCAACCTTGAACTTCTAATCGATCTAAATAGAACTTTAAGCTTAACATAAACGAAATTACGATTAGATACAATATCAGCTAAGAAATCTTCTGGAGTTTCCTTAAGATGCACTTCAACTACTGATAGAAATTCGTCATAAAGTCTTCTGTGTTTTAAGAGGGCTCCTTCACAGGAGCAGAAGAGGATGAATATTTTTTTCCACTGATCAAAAGCTTCTAGGCTGTGGCCAACTAGAAAGCATATGAAAGAAAATTCTAGTTCTCCTAAAACATCATTTGGTCTACAAAAAATAATCAATATAAATACATATAGGTAGGTTTTATATTAACTTACTGTTCATAACTTGCAAGAACTTGCTCAAAAAGATATGAAGCATCCAACGAATGTCTTGTTATTTCTGCAGGAGTAGATCCTTCTGGATAACCTTTGGTTGGAAACACAGTGAATCTTAATTCAGTACCGTGTATAGGTTTTAAATTGGGCAAAAAATCATCCTCTGACATGGAGGATCTGGATTTTTTGGATGACGATGGACCAGAAGAGTCACTAGCATTGGATTCTGATGATTTGATTCCTCTAGGTCTATCGGCATCAGTGCAAGGCTCTAATTCTAGAGCAGAGCGGACTTCTCCACTAATTGGAACCAACTTTTTGACCAAGTTCTCTGAAATCAGGCGGAGAAATCTACTTTATATTGTACATGAACATTGTAGAGAAAAAATATACTTATAGACTATCTAACTGGATATACCTGAGATGTTATCAGTAAGAGACTTCCATTTATCCCAAATAGTAAAAGGATAAGGACCCAAAAACTGATCCAAAGCTTGTATATTATCCTTAAGTCCGACAATTTCTGTTTCTGGAACACTTTCCAAACTTATACACTCGTTGAATTGATCCCATTTCCTGACAATCATTTCACCCTTTTTGAAACGATGAAAGAATCCATTGCGAGGAGCTGTGTCACCATAATCGCCCACCGAACTATAGAAAATGTAATGCAAACCGGGAGGGATCATTTTGACGCCTCGAAACTTTTCTCCTGTGTTCCAGGATTTCAGGTCGATGCCAAACTCTGTGCCTTCTGGAACGTTTAAGAAAACAAGGATACCTCCTTCTTGTAATAGTTTCTTGGCTGTAGGCTGATCCATGTTTGTTTATTTCTTATTTCTTTTGATTTTCCAGAAAATTTCTCAACCACCGCTACTGAACCTAGGGTTCTGTTGTTCTAAACCTAACCTTAGATAAAACGTAAACTAGACACTAGAGTAGAGTAGTTCTACTCTACACTAATTTTACTTATCGATTCGATATATCGATGTTACCTATATCGATATCGATAAGGATTCAAAACAGACACTGCATCCATGCAAATTTTTTGAAAAATATTGATGAACAAAAGCCGATAATACAGAAATATTCTTTTTAGATACTGCCGCCATCTATGAGTAAATAATCGAGCTTCTTGGATTCTGGATATGCCATATGGACAATGTTACCAACTCTGAACCAAGACTGTCCACTAGAAAAGAGACTTCCACTAGGAGAAAAATATGTTTGGACTAGTGGAAAATCTACTTAATTTTTCCCACTCTTTTTTGAACTTTTTAACACTCAGAGGTGCTTTCGAGTGACCCATTTGAGTTACTCCTGAACCTTGAACTACTCATTTCTGTTATCCCCTGCCCCCTCGTACTCACTTTATTTCAAAGTTATATTCCTTTCAAGAGTTAAGAGCACTAGAGCTACTCGCTCCGGTGTTAGTCGACCCCGATCTGAAAGGAATAGATGCGCTGACTTTCGTGTTTTTAAATAATTTTGTTCGGGCTTGAGCACTGAGCACTTGAGCAATGTCAAAAAAATGCGAATTTCGTAGTTAAGAGTACGAGGCTTAAGACGAGATACGTTCCAGTGCTGGTTATGTCGAACAGTTCAAGAGCGTCACACTCCAGGAGCATGATACTGTAACAATTTAGGCACTGGAAAGCAGCTCAGGGCTGCGTTCAGAAATGGCTACAGCCAAGCAGTGATGTGCCTGTAGACAATGTCAACGTAAACAATTGATTGTCTACGCGTAGACAATTCGAATTGTTTGCGGGAGCATTTGTCTACACAATAGACCTATCTCGCATGATTAGAAAAAGAGAGCCTAATTGTAATAAATACAAGCTAGAAAGCAATAAAAGATGACATGCGCGCGCAACTCGTAGGCTGCTGTGTAGCCAGATTGTATTGTTGCAGAATAAATGTAGACAATACAAATCGAATATTATAACATTAAAGAAGTGATATAGTGTCAAGTGTTTTACAATGCCTTATATCAGACAAAAGAAGAGTTTTAAAGTGGATGAACATCGTTTGCACTTTTATTTTGATAAATGTTTCCTCCGGCAACATCGCTCAATGAAATGGCAAAGGAATATGTCAAGTATAATCTTAAACGAAACTGCGGTGAGTTCAAGTAATATGTAAAGAATTAGTTTGCTCTTTGTCAAATTACACGTTACAAAGAAAGAAGGAACAATTCATTCTGAACTGGCCCCTGAATAAGAATATGACGCAAGCCTGTCACAAACTTGCTTCTCATTGGACGCTCACCTGCAGCCTACAAGCACAAGCGACGCGCGCAGTCCAGGTAATAGGAGATAGGTCTATTATCTATCTGCGGCGTAAACAATAACTTATTTTAAAAAATTCGAAAGAAAATATCAAAAGTTACTATACTATCACTATCACTTCGATATCAGCATTCACTGATTATAAAATATCAGGAAAACCAATAATAAAATAAAAATAATTTAAAAAATGGAAAGTGTGAGGTTAGAATTAAACGTCATTTATATTATTTTACATTGTTGGCACGTTGTCTACATTGTCTACATTATCTACACGTAAAGTAGACAATGAAAGTCTACGTGTAGACGCACATCCCTGCTGCCAAGCCAAAAAAGGCATTTCGCGTTCGAGTTCGGCTCCAACCTACGTGGTTCGGCATTACCGGTGGAGGGGGAAAAGTAGGTTTTGGCATTAGCATTGCCGTCTTTGAACGCACCCCAGGGGTGATATCTTTTTTAATGTGTAATAATTCTAAAAAATATGGATACTCATTACTCAACGGCATCTAGGTATCATCTACCATGTTGTGTTGTGTTAGTTTCTTTTCTTTATTTCTAGTGATTTCCATTTGTCGAACCAGTTCAAAAAAAATGTATCCTTCTTATCCTTATTAAACATGTTACATGCTTTTAGAAAAACATTCCGATACACTCAGTGCGCCTTGACTGACAAATGGAAATCGCCATTAGATTATGTTACAGCAGCATATCCATAAACAAGGATGGGCTATCCTCATAGGGCCTGTGTGTAACAAATCCCCCTTTCCCCCACCAAAATACCAGTTGTGACGTAGATACCATGTAATTTCTCGCCTTGACGTAGGCTGTTTAAACAGCTGACGACTTAGTTATGACGTCGGCAATGGTAGCATACCAATATGGCGGCGATTGCCAAAAACGAGGCCGATAAGCACTCCTTAGGGCCAGTTTATCAATCAAGGGATAACTCGCAGAGTTTGCTGACCCTGGGTCAACTCTAACTCTGGGCTAATTACCTAGTCAAGTCGGAAGGTGTTTATCCAAGCTTCTTTCACCCAGGGCTGGTAAACTCTCGGGTACTTCGAAGGATAGCATTACTTATACAACGTTGCTAGCTAACCTAACTCATTTATGTTATTTTTTTTTTTTTTTTTTCCGTTTCCGTAACGTAAAGTTCGGTTTCGTGTACCTATTCTGTGTAAAATTTGTTGTTTTGTTTTAAAGAGAAAATTTCTGAAAGAAAATAACCACAAGCATACCTACTTTTTACGTAAGTCTGTTGGCAATTCGAGTCTATGCTCGATTTGTTCTAGAACAAATAAAATTGTTTTTCGCGAGCGAAAACGCGGTGACGTCATCAGAATTGTCAAAGAGGTTAAAGGGATTATGGATTTGACCTCGACCTTACGTGGTAGTATCGCCGCTCATGTTTTAGAAATTCTAGGAGGGTTGACAGTGGACATAAAAGCATCATTGAAAATATTGACATACCTACGATATGACAAGCTCAAGGATGATATACACAATACCACTACAGGATGGCCCTCTATGGGATAGCCTATCCTTATAAGGCCTGTGTGTGTAACAAATGCTGCCTTAAAATAGTGTCCAACTCTTTTAGAGTGGCACCGTACAAGTCTGGACTGATTCTGTCTGTCATTTTGTCTATGTGCGAATAAGTCAGTCGGGATGCCAGTTGTTTTTAGGGCGAAACAACAACTCTTTCTGTTTCCCACGGTTTTCGTACAACTTCTCAGTTGTACTGTCGGAAATGGTATCACACCACACCAGTTTGGCGGCGATTACCAAAAACGAGGCCGATAAGCACTCTTTTGAGTGTGTATTCTCCTTATGACAAGCCCACAAAAAGAAAGGCAAGGATGATACACACTCAATCTATGCACACTACTACTACAGGATGGCCTATCCTCATAAGGTATGTGTGTAACAAATCCCCCCTCGCCAAATCACCAGTTGTGACGTAGGCAGCATGTTGTTTCTCGCCTTGACGTGGACTGTTTAAACAGCTGACGACTTAGTTATGACGTCGGAAATGGTGTCACAACAATATGGCGGCGATTACCAAAAACCAGGCCTGTAAGTGTGTATCATCCTTGAATATATGCTGCCTTCTGTAAATTAAGAGGAATCCTATACAAATACGTTATTTCGAAATTTTATAAAGAATTATCGAGAACTAATAGAAGCGAAGTATCACTAAAAATGATTGAGCTAAAAATTCACCAGAACCGTGGATTGGCGTGGATCCAATGAAGTAGTAAGAAGGTTGGAATAGCCCTTTGCCTATCTACTCAATACATATATTTGCGGCCAACATTAGAGTGAGAGAACAGCAGAGATCCATGAGATTTTTTTGCCGTTACTAGCGCTATTTCACTCAGGGTTAGAGTGAGAGATATGGGAAATCCAATTAGGCAATTCAATCCATCTGTCAAAAAGGAAAATTCAATGTGGCGTGGCGGCCAAGCAAGTTTGTTTTGAATATGTTTTTATGCGTATTTTTAATTATTTTGCATACAGTTTTGCTTACAACTTTGATTTTCATTATTTAATGAAATATTTGTTGACTAGGTACCTGAACTATTAATTCGGGCAGAAACTAGATTTGTGTTTTTTGGCCCATGTGTGGCCGCTACGCCGTCTTGAATGTCACGTGGTTTGAATTGCCTAATAGATTTCTTGCCCTTACTAGCGCTATCTCATTCTGGAATCAATTGAATGACGCAAAGCTCATTCCAAACCTTATTTCTACTTCATTGCGTGGATCCCATTCCCATTCCCATTAAAATTACCACTATAGTGAAATTTGCTAAAACCATTTTACTAGACAACTTTGAAATCCACTAGAAATAGTGAAAATTCTACCGAGTTGGCAACACTGCATATGGCCCATATGGGTGATTCCCATAACTAGGTTGAATCATGGATATCAATCACATATCCATGCTAAAGCTGATAATAAATTAATATTTATTTATATTACTAGCACGGTATGAGCTTCCTATAGTAACGAGTGCTGTAATTATGAGCGTTATCGCACTTGTGATATACTAGTTATTAACATTACAAGTGCGTTTATAAACATGATTACAATAACGAGTGTGCGAAAGATTAGAACGACGAGGTCGTAGACATTGTTTTTGAGAAAAACGACAGAATGCGATATGGCATGCATATTGAGATTCCTTCGCCTAGACGCGTAGCACCATCCAATTCTTCATGTAATAAAACCCTAGAGATTTTCGTACAACAGGGTTCTCAGAAATAAAAAAATACTGTATTCTTAGGGACGAATTTTAGGGGGCTGAAACTCCCTGTATAGTGAAGTTTGCCATAACAAATGAAGTTGAAACAACCCGAAATGGAGTTAAACACCAAATTGCGTGAAAATGATGACCTATCTTGCATTGTGAAGAAGACATTTAATAGACGTAACACATAGAATCAGAAAACGAGTACATATGTCGATGAGCTGAGCCTCTCTTAAAAATCTATTCCGAGTCTGAGAAGCTCTGAAATTCAACTTCAATGTCAAAAGTTCAACTTTGAAGACAAAGCAGTGCTCAAGTACCTACATTATCTATTTTCTATTTCGACATCAAAAGACGCAATATCGAGAAAGTTGATGATGATGATAACTATAGTACTTATATAGTAGGTACAAGAAATAGGTAGTTATTATTATATCGATGAATAATGAATGAAGATCGATGTTCTTAAAGATTTGCCACTGAATAGGTAGGTATTATGCTATATTCTAGAAGGGGAAATGATACTTCAAAGGTAAAAAAAGAGGATTTAATCTAGAGGAAGTAGAAAAGTACCTATACAAAGACTTTTTGAGTGAATGTTAGGACTTTTTATATGATAAATAACATTAAGAATAATTTGTCAAAGTACCTTTCATCAGACTTAACATGAAGGAGGAACATTGGATAGCTGTCGCCAACAATCTCAAAAAAGGGTGGGTAGATACCTACCTACTTCCATATTTTTTTGAGTATTTGAATAGAACAATAAGACCTATAATTGTATCTATAGAAGCTATCTAAGGCAATGTCCACTGTTTGATAATGGTTTCTTCAAATCGTTCCACCTTTTCAGGGGCACTCGCAATCCAATTCGTTTTGATCCTTTTCAGGATCCTTAAAAGACGAAATAATTCAATATCGAAATACTCCAGTACCTACTTCGGCCTTGACTTCGACTTTTCTCTCGAAATTTCAACTTTAATGCCGGCACATCGACATATTGAAGTCGAAATGTATTACCTACTTTTTTCTAAAAATTTCGACATCAAAGTCGAATTGGTTAATTTTTTTTATATGTGGCACTTTCTACGCCTCCGAAGTAGAAGAAGAAAGAAACCCAATTTTTAGTTGAGGTAGCTTCCGGTCCATTGATCAGTATTTTTATTTTAAGATTTTGAAAAGAGGTGGCGCTAGTTTGGTCTCATGTAAAAATTCCTCCTCTTACGGCTCATCATGTATTTGAATTTTTGGATTCTGGATACTCCTGGATACTCCTCACATTCTCTTTGTATATATAATTTGAAAATTGTCGATTGTTGATATTTTCAATGCAAAAGTTTCCAGCAGGTTTGACAACGCCCTTGAATCTGTTCCTCTATAGATTGTCTGTGGAAATCGAATAAAAATATTTTGTCTCTGCGAGCGTCGCCGAAGAAAGGAAAAGAGAGAGGACCGCGACGTCGCGTTAGCATCAGCCGGCGCGTCCCCGATTCCCGAAAAACTTTTATCGGGGTGCGGGAATCGACCGGACAAAATCTGGCAATGCGGGAGACGCGCGTCTGGAAAGCAGGAGCGCCGACGCTGGCGCATTTCGCGCACCCGACGCGATCCAGAGCAGCAGGAACCCAAGAGCAGCAGCAGCAGCGACGACGACACCGTCAACCACCCAGCAGTGATGTCGTTCGCGAGCGGGTTGTGTCGCTGAGAGATGAATCTTCGCGAGCATGTAATCGTTGTTGTCGCCGCCAGCGCCCAAGCGTCGTCGTGCGACCATGTGTGCCGCCGCGTACGCTACCGAGATCACGTAAAAGCGGTCGACTTGAGTCCAAAAAGGCCCCGTCGAGCGGCCGAGTGGTGAGGCGTCATGGCGGGCTCGGCCGTCGACCAGGCGTCGGCGTGCGTCGTGGCCCACGGCCATGGCTTCCAAAAGAAGACCTTCCACAAGCCCACGTATTGCCACCACTGCGGCGACATGCTCTGGGGCCTCATCCAACAAGGCTTCGTATGCGAAGGTGAGACCTTTATCCCACAAAATTTACCTTTATGTACCTCTTATCCTAAATAGGTCACGCAACCACGCGCCCTACACTCGATTCTCCCGTTTGATGTTCCCTATACATTCATTATAATCAAATGCTTATTCTCTCAAGAGAGCTTCCGTATATTTCTATTAATAAAAGCACGAGATATACTTTTTGTTTCTGCCCTACTTTTCACGCTTTCCTACAAGTATGGATTATTTTATGGATGCACCTACTACCGATATAGCATATTTGAACATTGTTTTCTTTATAGTGGTTAATATACCTACAGCAAACCTTCAAATTGTAGCTAATCAAAAATGAAAAGTTTGGCATTTGCCTATTGTTCTTTGTTATGTTAATACCTATTCAACGCACCAGCTAACAGTTTTTGCGAAAAATCAATCGTTTTTTTAAGTAAATCAAATTCAAAATACTTGAGTATCAATACTAAGAGATTATAACACAATGGTTCCTGCTTTAAAAATGTTAGCAATAAGACACTCTGATGTCCATAGGTAAATTGATTGATTCTGGTAAGATTGCTCTGGAAAACTCTGCGCTCAGGTTTTTCAAATTTTATATATTTTTCCATTAGATAGAGCAAAAAAAAACCTCAAAAAGAACAAACATTGATCTAAATGATTGTTAATTTTGTTTTTGTTGCACATGAGCTTTTTCAGAGTAAACTTTGGTGTGTTATATGAAATACACTTCATGAAAAGATTCTAATTTCCTCTGGAGTTATCCAGGTGCACACGTCCACATTATATCCATGTCCCGACAAACATTTGTCTCAAGGAGGTTTTTACATTTTTCGGTCGAGCAGATTTATGCTCATTTAAAACTTAGTCCATTATCCTTATTTGCCAATGATTTGATGATTTTTAACTGATTTTACATCAAAAACACGAAAATTCTTGTGAAAATATAGGTACGGCTATTCTAGTAAATTAAACTACATAGTTTAAATTTTAATTGCATAACAAATACAACACATGAGAGAAGCGTATAATGACTTTCCATTTTCGCCAAATTCTATAGAAAATAGCCGCGTAATAATTTTTTTGAAATTGAAAAAAATCTTATTCAGATAACTAGGAACTTTTTGATGCAAGTTTTGATAGTTTTGTGATCCTAAAGACGTAATGTCATCAAAATGAACTAATTATTGCTACAGATTCTCGTCTTTTGTCTCATCCCAGTCGTCCCGTCTTGTCTCGTCTCGTCTCGAAAAGTCACTTGGAAATGAGATGAGAGAACAGTGTCTCTCGTCGAGAATTTCTCAAGTTCCCTCGAGCCCTCTCGCACCGTTTTGGGGTATTTTAGGGTTGATTTGAAAAAAACGCTCAAACACGTCAATTTTGTATTCAGGGAGAATCTTTTTGACCCTATCGGTATTTCGCTAGGGTGCACCCCCTGGATGGGGTGACTTTCACCCCTCTTTTTTAGATAGAGAAGATGGGTCGAGAGGTAAGTACCTTGTTTTAAAGGTATTTTGATTCTTGACACAACTGTGTACTTGTTTTGAAAATCGAATGATTAGTTCTCAAGACATTTACTGTCAAAGTTTTGCCATAGGCTAAATAAGAAACAATAATATTCTGGCTCTGATTCTCAAATTAACACTTTCCTGACTTTTCTTTCGAACACGTCAATTTTAATTATTTCGAAAGCACGCAAAAAAAGAAAATTGAGGAGAGGATAGTCAGGAAAGTGTTGATTTGAGAATAACAGGACCAGAAGATGGTTTCCTATTTAGCCCATGGCAACTTGAGAACTAATCGTTCGATTTTCAGAAAAAGTACACAGTTGTGACGAGAATCAAAATACCTTTAAAACAAGGTACCACTCGACTCATCTTCCCAATCGAAAAAGAGGGGGTACACCCTAGTGAAATACCCATGAAATCAAAAAGTTTCCCCCTTGAATACAAAAATGACGTGTCGGGGCGTTTTTTTTTTTAAATTGACCCCAAAATACCCTAAAACGCCTCTGTTTCGATTTTCGTGGAACACCCTGTATGCATAGGCTATTTCCGACGTTAGGTCCCTAACATCAAGGTGCCATTCCTTATATATTAAAAAAAAATCCTATAAATATTTGTAGGGAAATCGGAAATGGCACCTTTTTTCGATACAGCGTATTCGAACCTTTGTTAAGATGAAAAAAGTAGGTAGGTATACGTAAATATCCAATATTTTCCAGAACCTTGGGTATTATGGTTGATATTACATTTTTATACATTTTAGTTAATAAGGAGCCAGAATACGTTTGCATTTTCTTGACCTCGGAGTCGAAATTAACCCACTATGCGTCAAAACTGACAAGAGACGAGAGAAAACGAGACGAGAAAAGAGCTCTCTCTCGTCTCGTATTGAGGGTCTCTCGTTGAGACGAGAGACTCATTTTCTTTGGAATCTTCGAGACAAGACAAAACAGAGCGTATTCTCGTCTCGTCTCGCGGCATAACTACACAGTAGGTACATTCCTGGAAATGGACCAAGTTCATAAGTATCTACCTATATTTTCAGGTGTAAAAATCCCCTTATTAAGAGGATTTTCAATTATCTTGGAACTTGAAAGTTTCATTTATAAACCACGAGAAGGAATAGAATATTCTATAGCAAGTGTGGAATAAGCAAAATTCTATACGAGAGATTTGTATCCCGAGCCGAAGGCGAGGGGAACGGCTATTCGAGTGTAGAATTTTGAATTCCACACGTGTTTCAGACTATACTTTTCTACGATTTCAAATCAAACAACTGTAATAAGCCAATGTAAGTGTGACATGAATATTTGACTGTCAAACGTTGTCAAGTAATAGTCGGAATGAACGAATTCTCTAATAGTCGTAGAAAAAAGACCTTTCAATATTTTGTATAAAAATGTCCTGTTATTTGATAGGTGAACATTTCCTGTACCTTCTCGAACTTCCTTTGAACTTTTTCTAACTTGAATTTTGTTAATAAGTACTTACCCGTACTTGCACGAAAGTCTTTAAATTTCCCAGACTTGCTCCACACTCCCTCAATCTTGCCTTTCTTGTATTTCTCCCGATTTCCACAAACTTTCTTGAATCTTCTTTTATATGTTCCTTTCTCGCACTTTTAACAGGTGGACCTCCTTTGAATTGTCTCCGACTTCCTCTATATAAATAAAATCGATTTTGCAGAATTTCTGGTTTTTCCGGATATCTCGGAAAATGTTCAGAATTTTTCAAATGTCAAAGTACCATTTTATATAGTGTTGAATTGCGCAACTTTTTCCTGATCTAACCAACATTGTAATAGCTCCAACCGTTCTCCAGATCCCCCCCATCCTTATCTTGGAAACACTGTAGAATATCCTGAATAATTCCCCATATTTTTTCAGATTTCCTCAAACTTCCCCGGTTTCCTCCCTACTTCCTTGAAGATGAAATTTCTTCTTCTCTGGGTCGGATATTAACAAACATTTCTAATTCTCTTTGCAATTCACCTTAGGTGGAGGTAAAAATTTTCTGTTCCTAGTAGGTAGGTGGTTCGCCCCCAAAAAAAACTTTTTTTGATATTATTTGACTCGTTGTTTGATAAACATCTCCCGTTCTTCCTCGAACTTCCTTTGAGGTTTCTCGGATTTCGCCAAAGTTCCCACAACTTCTCTAATACTTTTCCAGACTTGTACTTTCCTCAAATTCCTTATAAATTTCCGCTAAACTTCTCTTTCTAACTACATGTACTTCCTTAGATGATGCAAAATCCCCTTTCAGGCAGTTTTACCTCGGAAAAATCACAGTAGGTAAGTCATAGCTTGCAGAGCTTGTAATTCTGTTATTTTCAGTCTCGTTAAAACTCGAAGACTTTACTCTGGCTCCTCAAAAACTGCACCTCAATGGATTCACTGCAGACCACCAAGACTCCAAGAGCTGAAATGTTTGTTCAATGTTATATTCTGCTCCCAAAAATTTTAATCTTAGGTTCAATATTTACTTAATTCAAAAAATTCACAAACTGCTGCTCAATTGCCTTGAATTTTCAGTATTTTTTGTATAAAACTCCTGAAAATTGATTCTTAAAATCTATTTGCGTGTCTTAAAAATTTCGAGTTAAAAATTGAAGCTTAGAGGTTTTTCATTGTCAATTGAAAAACTTCACAATTTTATAGTTTGTTGCCAAATCGTTGTGAGTCTCCAGTATATTTTGTACCAAACTATTAGAAATTGATCAAGTTCTCATATTTTCACACCTAATAGTTTTTTGAGTTGGAAATTTCAGCTTAGGAGGCTTGTCAGGGTCAATTTTTACTTAATTCAAAAAATTCATCACTTCGCAATTTGCTGCTCATGGTACATCTTGAAAATTCACCTGTAGATCGCCAAATATTGCACCTAATGGCCTCTACTTCAGATACAGTTTGTTGCTCAATTGCTGTGAATTTCCAGTATATTTTGTACCAAACTCTTGAAAATGGATCTTCAAGTTCTTATATTTTCACGCCTAATAGTTTTTTGAGTTGAAAATTTGAGCTTAGGAGGCTTGTCAGGGTCAATTTTTACTTAATTCAAAAAATTCATCACTTCGCAATTTGCTGCTCATGGTACATCTTGAAAATTCACCTGTAGATCGCCAAATATTGCACCTAATGGCCTCTACTTCAGATACAGTTTATTGCTCAATTGCTGTGAGTTTCCAGTATATTTTGTACCAAACTCTTGAAAATGGATCTTCAAGTTCAATTATATTTTCACGCCTAATAGTTTTTTGAGTTGGAAAATTGAGCTTAGGAGGCTTGTCAGAGTCAATTTTTACTTAATTCAAAAAATTCATCACTTCGCAATTTGCTGCTCATGGTAGGTACATCTTAAAAATTCACCTGTAGATCGCCAAATATTGCACCTAATGGCCTCTACTTCAGATACAGTTTGTTGCTCAATTGCTGTGAGTTTCCAGTATATTTTGTACCAAACTCTTGAAAATGGATCTTCAAGTTCTTATATTTTCACGCCTAATAGTTTTTTGAGTTGAAAATTTGAGCTTAGGAGGCTTGTCAGGGTCAATTTTTACTTAATTCAAAAAATTCATCACTTCGCAATTTGCTGCTCATGGTACATCTTGAAAATTCACCTGTAGATCGCCAAATATTGCACCTAATGGCCTTTACTTCAGATACAGTTTGTTGCTCAATTGCTGTGAGTTTCCAGTATATTTTGTATCAAACTCTTGAAAATGGATTTTCAAGTTCTTATATTTTCACGCCTAATAGTTTTTTGAGTTGAAACTTTGAGCTTAGGAGGCTTTTCAGGGTCAATTTTTAGTTAATTCAAAAAAATCATCACTTCGCAATTTGCTGCTCATGGTACATCTTGAAAATTCACCTGTAGATCGCCATATTGCACCTAATGGCCTCTACTTCAGATACAGTTTGTTGCTCAATTGCTGTGAGTTTCCAGTATATTTTGTACCAAACTCTTGAAAATGGATCTTCAAGTTCAATTATATTTTCACGCCTAATAGTTTTTTGAGTTGGAAAATTGAGCTTAGGAGGCTTGTCAGAGTCAATTTTTACTTAATTCAAAAAATTCATCACTTCGCAATTTGCTGCTCATGGTAGGTACATCTTAAAAATTCACCTGTAGATCGCCAAATATTGCACCTAATGGCCTCTACTTCAGATACAGTTTGTTGCTCAATTGCTGTGAGTTTCCAGTATATTTTGTACCAAACTCTTGAAAATGGATCTTCAAGTTCTTATATTTTCACGCCTAATAGTTTTTTGAGTTGAAAATTTGAGCTTAGGAGGCTTGTCAGGGTCAATTTTTACTTAATTCAAAAAATTCATCACTTCGTAATTTGCTGCTCATGGTACTCTTAAAAATTCACCTGTAGATCGCCAAATATTGCACCTAATGGCCTCTACTTCAGATACAGTTTGCTGCTCAATTGCTGTGAGTTTCCAGTATATTTTGTACCAAACTCTAGAAAATGGATCTTCAAGTTCTTATATTTTCACGCCTAATAGTTTTTTGAGTTGAAAATTTGAGCTTAGGAGGCTTGTCAGGGTCAATTTTTACTTAATTTAAAAAATGCATCACTTCGCAATTTGCTGCTCATGGTACATCTTAAAAATTCACCTGTAGATCACCAAATATGGCCTCTACTTCAAATACAAAAAAAACCTAGATAAATCTGAAAGAGAAGCCTCCTTCAGAATTTCACAGAAAATCTTTTTTTATTACATTTGATTAATATTTCTCGTCCTTCGTCGACTTTTTTTGGATTTTCTTGAACTTTCTCAATAATTCCAAGGATTTTTTCACACTTCTTCGGATCTCTCAATGCTTTCTCAGAAATACCGTGCTTGTATATACAATCTCTAGACTTCCTGGGTTGGAAGTTGAAACTTCTTTCTAAATTTCACAAAGAAGCTTCTTTTATTCATATTTAATAAATGTTTCTAGTAGGTATTTCTTGGATTCCCTTCGAAGTTCTGCTAACTTCTTGGGATTTCTCCAAATTTCCCCGCACTTCTTCAATTCCTACTTCAGTTTAACATCAATTTTCTCTTGAACCCTCCGCTCGATTTCGATGAATTTTTCACAGATTGTAGCTTGATTCTTCAGGAATACATCTGACGTATTACCGTTATTAAATGATTGGTCTTTATATCATATACAGGGATGGAAAGAAAGTCAGTAATTTTGAGACACCCTGTGGAGTGAACCACTGGAGATTCAGAACAGTTTTTCAACACCAAATTGTAGCCTAATGTTTTCCGAACATTTTCATTTTTTATTCACTCTGATATTTTCAATATTATTGAAAATACAGAGTTTCGAAGAAAAGGTGGATATTGACCTTAGTTTTCTCCACTTCGACATACGAATTGGATATGAAAATTTGAAAATGTGTCGTTTCCCAATAATATTGAAAATATTGGAGTAAATAGAAAGTGAAAATGTTCGGAAAAGATCAGGCTACAATTTGGTGTTTAAAACTGCTGAATTTCCAGTGGTTAACTCCACAAATCTCAAAAACTCTGAAAATTACTGACTCTTTTTCCATCCCTCTATATGATATAGAAACGAATCATTTAATAACAGTAATACGTCAGATGTATTCCTGAAGAATCAAGCTACAATCTGTGAAAAATTCATCGAAATCGAGCGGAGGGTTCAAGAGAAAATTGATGTCAAACTTAGTGTAAATTTTATCCCTTCCCCTAATTTTGCTGGTGTGTGTATCTGGTCTTCGTTGCCTGATACCCATCTTCAAGGTTTTCAGGTTTGATTTCCCAAAAGAAATTATCCAGTGGATTCAGATCTGGCCAATATGCCGGCTTTTCCATTGCATCTCTACTGATTTTGTTAGCAAACAAGTGGAATTTTTATTCTAGAATTTACTCACAATGGATACTTTGTGAATATTCCACACTGTATAATGGCTAACCAACCTTAATGTTGGTCAAATAATGGGTTGTAATGAATATACAAAGTTATATAATACACACACATAACAAACAAGAAGCTTTATTTTAAATCATCTGGAATCCTACTAGACTGTTGAACATATGTTTGATTTCATGGCTCCATTATTCTTTATAGCTGGTCAATGACACCATTTTTTTTTTCAAATTTCACTCAAAAATGTAATTTGTTTTTGGATAAATTAATAGCCAGAGGTTTGCCTCAAAAATCTCTCTCGCGTCGTAGCTATTTTAATATTATTCATATTAAGATTACTAAAAATAATTTATCTAAGGATGAATATTCAGTACTATGAATAGCTTCCGCGCGCTATAAATAAACTTTCCATCGCGAGAGAGTGAGTGAAACCATTTATAACCGATTACGCCTCTCGAATAAAGTACCTATAGCTCTCAATTTTTTCTCCTTGCAAGTGACTAGAACCAATTAAACGCACTTTTAATTTAATTGGTGTGATAAACTTGCTACAACAAAGCCAGCTTTTATCCCTGGAAATTACTTAGTTTTTTTGAGTACTTTCTTCTAAAAAACTGGAACATTTCTATTAAAAGACGCTTTACAGTAAAGAAGAAGTCCAATTATTTACAACTACATAGTCTAAAAAAAGAACTACTAAGTTATTCTGAGTTTGTATAGTGAAACTCTTGGAACATTTTTGCTAATGATTACGACCTAAATATAGTCCGGAAAAAATTGGATTCAAATTCCCTGCATATATAAAATCTAATTAGAGAATCACTAGAGAGTAAAATGATTGGCACTTTTGCGCTATCAATGGGATAACAAAACAATAGCCATTAAATCGGAAACCGTTTCAATAAATGTTAAAACACAATTGTGAACAGCTTACAACGTAATCCTGATGACAGCTAGTTTTGATTAACCAAATGGGGTGCAAAAATAAAATTGAATTTATTTTCCAGTTTGCAACTTCGTAGTGCATGAGCGCTGCTTGAAGACCGTAATATCTCCATGTTCAAGCTTAGCGGCCAGTCTAGTCAAGGTAAATGTGCATAATATGTTTGTATATGATGGTTATTAATTGATTTTTTTCCAAATTTAGAATCCAGTAGCGCATTGCTGGTCAGAAGCACTACATCAGAAACGGAAATTTTGTAACGTTTGTCGGAAAAGACTTGACGATTGTGATTCTATTCATTGTGAAAGTAAGTATAGAACTTTTTTTTTGGTGAATTTAGGGAAACCTGTAAACATCTATACGATTATTTTGTTGATCCAGAAAACACTAATTTATGTTGAAGTCATTGAAATATATTACAATATTGACCTGATTATATTAAAGGGCATGTAGTTCAGTGAAAAACCTAAACAGATACTCATCGATTTATGGGATTTTGTCCAGAATGGTTCAAGGACATGAAGCCAATAATTCCTGTTTTTTATTTGGCACAGTTGCCAGATTGAACGTTCTTCCTATACCTACTTGGTTTTTCTGGTATTTTGGATCATAATATGGGATTTTGTTTCTTTTTTCCTGAGCAAGCAATATTCAGTTTCCAGCGATTCTTTAGGTCTGATACGATACGTCTGATGTCCACTTATTATCTCCCATTCTTCTGTAGTCAGTCGAAGTGGTTTCAAATTGTCGTTAGTAGATGGTCCAGGATGTTTGACCAACACATATTAGTGGCTGATGACATCTGCAGTAGCTCTGTCCATCAGGTCCTTGATGTCAATTTCAACTTCTTTATCTCACCCTTTTTCAGGAATTTGCAAAAAAATCCTGACTGAATACAGGGTGCTTAGATGGAGTAATACAAAATCATGAAGAGTGATACAAATGACGATGATAAAATTTAATTTCCAAAAAAAAACACCCTGTAAACGGAGCATTGCATTCCTTTCCAGAAAATCTAAGTAGAGCCTCTAATAGTTCATCGAACTCTCTATTGAATCACCCAGTTCTCAATTCTTCAGAGGATATGTGAGGAAAGATATAAATTTTCAAAAAATTGTAGGTTTTAGTGCATTTATTAGAATAATTCGGATGCCTCTAACTTTCCAAGGACACTCTGACACTGTAAAGAATAAGCAATATGATGAAATTTGCGAATTATTTTTTATTTTAAAGCTCTTTCTATGAATCTTCATGAATCTCTCATCTTTAATATACAGGGTGTTGAATAGAGTGGTGCAAAATGAGTTTTATTTCCAAAAAGAAACACCTTGAATCCTGATGGTGCGTCACATTTTTTTAGAAAATCTAAGTAAAGCCTCTAATTTTCTCTATTTCCCTTTTAGTTTCAATTTTTGGCTTTTCCAGGCTCTTGAATTTCTCTTTTCTGCCAAATTTCTTTCTAAGGAATCAAAGAACACTCAAAAGCCTGGAATGAAATTTCTTTCCATAAAAGAATCAAGGAACAGTCAAGAGCCTGGAATAGAAAAATGATCAAATTTCCTCGAAACTCTTGTCTATGTTTCTCTTCTTTAGTTTCAATTTTCACCTATTCCAGGCTCTTGAATTTTTGTTTGCATTCAAATTTCTTTTTATAAAAGAATCAAGGAACATTCAAAAGCCTGGAATCAAATGTCTTTTCATAAAAAATCAAGGTAAAGTCAAAAGCTTGGAATAGAAAAGAAAAATTATCAAAATTCCTTAAAACTCTTGTCTCCATTTCTGTTTTCTTTAGTTCCAATTCCCAACTATTCGAGGCTCCTGAATTTCTATTTCCATCCAAATTACTTTTTATAAGAGAATCAAGGAACAGTCAAAGGCCTAGAATAAAATTTCTTTCCATAAAAGAACCAAGAAACAGTCAAGAGCCTGGAATAGAAAAGAAAAATGATCAAATTTCCTAAAAACTCTTGCCTCTATTTCTCTCTTCTTTAGTTTTAATTTTCGACTTTTCCAGGCTCTTGAACTTCTGTTTCTATTCAAATTTCTTTTTATAGAAGAATCAAGGAACAGTCAAAAGCCTGGAATAATATCTTTTTTCACAAAATAATCAAGAGAAAGAAAAAAATTTGGAATAGAAAAGAGAAATGATTAAATTTCCTAAAAACTCTTGTCTCTATCGGGCGCATAGCCAGAAAATTCATATAGAGTGGGTTTTCGCTATTGAAATTGAGAAACATTGCATGACCATATAGGGGTAAAAAAAAAATTACTTTTTTAGAATTTCAAGGTCAAATGCTTTATGCGAAAAGAATAAAATTTTGAGGGTAAAAAAATATATGTTAAAACATATGTTTCGTAAAGTACCTACATTTCTAGAATTTTTAGTAATGTCCCAATAGATATGTCCTTCGTGACCTCACATTACCTGTTAATTAATACATAGTGGACACTACAAATCCTACCTGACAAATTTAAAAGTTCAGTTTTTCTGGTTGTTTTCTTATTCTGGTACTTATTCGCAATGTCTCAGCATTTTCTGGAATCTGATTTGAGCAAAACTCTTCGAGTGAGAAATTTTGATAGTAGGAAAAGTTGTCTATGGGAATTTGGTAAAGTTTTAGAAAGAGAAAGCAATCTTATTTATTTGATTGAAATGGAAGATAAAATAATCGAAAAACATATAAATCGAATTGCCTCAACTAAAGTAGAGTGTTCAATATCACTATTTAACGTCTGTTATGTTCCAGACATAAAACAAACTCTGGAAACAGAAAATACTACAAGGGATTCATCTACAAAGTACAAACTCAATAATGATTAACTATTTGATACCAGAAGTTTCTATTTCAACAGAAAAAACATTAGATGACCAAGGGACTTCTTCCATGAATAGTGCTAACCAAAACATGCCAACCTTCTTCTAATCAAAAACCAAATCAGATTCCAGAAAATGCTGAGATATGGCGAAGCAGTACCAGAATAAGGCAAAAACCAAAAAAACTAAACCTTCAAATTTGTCAGGGAGGATTTGTAGTGTCCACTTTGTATTAACTAACCTGTTAATTGTTGTATGTTATGTGTTATGTAATTAAGATTGTTCTCTCACTTTACGTTAATACCCAAAGCAAATACATGTTAGGTATTTGTATTATAATTTTTAATTTCTAATAATTTCCAGAAGTGGTTTTTAATTATACTTTGTGATTAAGTGGGGGGAGGGGGGGTTTAACCCCCAAAACCCCCCGTGGTTACGCCCCTAGTCTCTATTTCTCTTTTGTTAAGTTTCAATTTCCGACTTTTCCAGGCTTTTGAATTTCTGTTTCCATCCAAATGTCTTCTTATAAAAGAATCAAGGAACAGTCAAAAGCCTGGAATAGAAAAGAAAAATGGTCAAATTTCCTTAAAACTCTTGTCTCTATTTCTCTTTTCTTCAGTATCAATTTTCAGCTATTCCAGGATCCTGAATTTCTGTTTCCATTCAAATTACTTTTCATAAAAGAAGCAACGAACAATCAAAGGTCTGGAATTAAAAAAAAAATCCATAAAAAAACCAAGGAACAGACAATAGCCTGGAATAGAAAGGAAAAATGATCAAATTTCCTTGAAACTCTTGTCTCTATTTCTTTTTTCTTCAGTTCCAATTTTCAACTATTCCAGGATCCTGAATTTCTGTTTCCATCCAAATTACTTTTTACAAGAGAATCAAGCAACAGTCGAAGGCCTAGAATAAAATTTCTTTCCATAAAAGAACCAAGGAACAGTCAAGAGCCTAGAATAGAAAAGAAAAATGATCAAATTTCCTTAATTCTCTTTTCGTTAGTTTCAATTTCCAACTTTTCTAGGCTCCTGAATTTCTATTTCCATCCAAATAACTTTTTATAGAAGAATCAAGGAACAGTCAAAACCCTAGAATAAAGTTTCTTCTCATAAAAGAATCAAAGAATAGTCAAAAGCCTGGAATAGAAAAGAGAAATGATCAAATTTCCTTAAAACTTTTGTCTCTATTTCTCTTTTCCTCAGTTTCAATTTTCAACTATTCCAGGCTCTTGAATTTCTGTTTTTTTTTTTTCAAAATTTCCTTTTATGAAAAGAATCAAGGAACAGTCAAAAGTCTGGAACAAAACTTCTTTCTATAAAGGTAGATTTACCGTATTTATTCCAGTGGTGCCCCAGAGGGGTTGGTGAAAGTAGAAAAAAAAAATGGCACGTCACTGTTTATTTATAACTTTGATCACTCTGCATTGTAAATGGAAATAAACACTTTACGAGGGTTATTCAAAATTCAATAAAAATAAAGGTGTTTTGAAATTTTGCTTCAACTATAGTTAGTTCATATCTTATCTACCTTGTATAGTACTGAAGGCCCTTCTTGACTTAAAATCTGCCTTAATCCGCCAACAACTCCGTGATTTGTTGTCATAAGTTCAATATACAGAAGAGTAATGCAAAGAGAGTTTGATTTCTAAAAAACAGAGCCTTTTAGAGGCTATAAAATGAGCAAGTTTCAACTCTATATACAGGGTGTGGAGTGTGTAAAGAGAACAGGATATTTTCAACAATTTGTATGACTTTATCTTTTCAAGGACACTCTGTAAAGAAACAATATTCTAGGATTTGATAGAGGGAATTATTTTCATTTTAAATTCCTTTTTATGAATTTTGAAAAAAATCCTTAGTCCAAAATACAGGGTGTTTAATAGACTAATAAAAAATGAATTTGATTTTCAAAAAAACATCCTGTTCTTGTCCAATAATTTCTGCTTATTCTTATGAAGTTACAACTTTCTTATCATGCGGTTCAAGAATGTTCTACAAAGTGTGTTCTTCTTGTTTTACAAGTCATTCAGTCATCTTTTTCTTAGTTTGGTGTTTGAGAGTCTGGGTGCTGTCAGAAGTACCAGTTTCCTCTTTCTTGTGAATAGAACTATTTCAGTCTTTTTGGGGTTGATGGACAGAGTGTATTCCGTGCACCATCTTTCTATATTTCGAAGAGCATGTTGCATGCGTTCGCAAAGCGAGTTCTCGAATTTACCTCTATGCAAGATGACTACGTCATCTGCGTAAGCTATTATATAGTGGCGGTCATTGTTTAGGCGGATAATGAGGATGTCCAGAAATGTTCCACAGGAGAGGTGATAGCACGCCTCCCTGCAGGCAGCCTATTGTGACTATTCCTTTCAATGTGCATACTTATCTGTACAATTCTTTTGGAAAGCATATTGAATATCCACCTGGTAAAAGTTTCCGGAGTATTCCTTTCTGTTAGCGAATGGCTAATTTTTTGGAAGGTGGGTCGGACTCCCTGTTGTCCATCGATTTTTCGTCTCGTCCAGCAACCAGGTGGAGGGCCGTGTCCGTTGATCTCCCGGGGATATACGCATGTTGATTAGGGTGGAGTGGATTGATTGACAACACTTCATCCCCTATGTACATTTGCATTGTTTTTAGAGGAAATGATGCTAGGCATATGAGGCGGTATGCCTTGGGGGTGGTGTAGTTCATCCTACCTAGTTTGAGTAGCAATACCACTTCCGCTTCTCTCTAAGCCTTGGGTATGTATCTCAGCGTCAAGGACACCCTGAACATCCCTACCAGGTGCGGCAAGAGTGGCTTCAGACCCCACTGAAATAGGGCTGGATATATGCCGTCAGATCCTCATGCTTTGAAGACGGAGAATCCTAAACTGCCCAACCTATTTTTTCCTCGTATTATCTGATTTGCTAGTTGCCAATCAGCCACAGAGGGTATGTATGTTACCTGCATCTGATCCTCCACAATTGTGGTTGTGGAGTTAGGAAGTGGGTTGCTAGTAGTAACTCTGTACTTTCTTGAAGGTAGGCAGTGGAGGTGCCATCCTCCTTGCACAGGATGACAATTTCCCAAAATGGAATGGATTTATATCCTGACTTCCCCAGTTGATGTGGTGCAAGTTGGAGTCACACCCAATCACCAGCTCCAGATCGTGGGTCTGGTAGTGCTTGACGAGCTCTACAAGGTCCCTGTTGGGTGGTAGCGTCTCAGCATCTGTGGGTATATATACTGGAGCCAGGACGATGGCTATCTTTTGCCCGCTGTTATTCTGCATCAGTTTAATGGCAGCTAGGTCTGACGTACATAGCTGTGTCAGTGGGTGGGCTGTGTATGACCTGATGGGACAATAGATAGGTTGGTTATTGCTAGGGTTGCTGAAAACTCGACCAATTAGTGTGCTTAAACCTATGATTTTACTCTGTCTTTTACAAGGTTCTCGGATAAGTGCTATTGTGTCCTGTGCCACATCCAGGTGGTGGCATAATGTTGCCGAAGCCGCCCTACTGTGGTGCAGGTAACACTGAACAAAATTTACCTTATTAGCCGCTTCCTCAAGCTCGATGCTGGTGGATGGGTGGGGGTTGATTTTTGATACCTCTTCCTCTAGAGAGGGGAGATATTGGTAATGGTATTGTTGCTGAAGGTGGATGCAAATTAGCAAACACCATATGTAGGCATTCCATTCTCTTTTCTCAACTTTCTTGACGTTACAAAATCGCGTTCCATTCCTATGCAGATTCTGGATCACCAAAACACTAAATTCTTTCTCTAGTTTGCCAGTACTATGTTCACGTGGAATGCCAAGATTTCGCCGTGCCCGACTGCAAAGAAAACGCCACTTATGCACCTGGAAAAGAATTGGAAGAAGTCGTACACACGCATCATTGGCGAGAAGGAAACTTACCAAGCGGCAGTAAATGCGAGCATTGCAGGAAAACTTGTTCCAACACTGAATGTCTTTCCGGATATCGATGCGAATGGTGTCGGATGACCGTAAGAATTTTCACACTTTAATGTGTTCTATAATTACGCATTTTATATTATAGTGTCACGCTATGTGCCATCTAAACGTCGACAGAGAATGCACTTTTGGTGTATTAGGACCGATCTATCTACCTCCGCATGCAGTCAGCATTCCACGTACTGAAGTGCCTATGGAAGCTATTATTGGCGTACAAGTTCGACGCAAGGAGACTTTATCTCGTAAGATTTTGTTGCAGTTTAGAAAACAATAATCTTATAAAACAAATTTTCCAGCACGCAGCACTTCTGAAGAATTTAGTAGTGGCGGTGATGCCAGTCGTTACAAAGATGTTGAGGATAATTCATCACAGTCTCATGGTTCTACTAAAGACAAGCAAGATAAGCAAAAAAAAGGGGAAGAAGAACGAGATGAAGGTAATATTCATTTTATTAAAACATTATTTTGATTGATTTTGAATAATTTTCCGCAGAAGTTATAAAAGTTTTCGATGGTAACAACTCTTTACGCAGGCGTATATTCAGAGTAATAGTGGTATCCAGGCAGGCGCCTTTGAATCAAATTCTTATTCAGGCACTTCGTGCCTTTCACATCACGAAAGATCCGGAACAATTTTATCTTACTGATTTGTATTCGTCTGAGGAAGATGTGCTGCACGATCCCACGCCGACTTTAAATTTACATAGGAAAGAAGGCAAACGACCAGCAGTATTTTTAAGATTCAAGTAAGGATTTACTAATTTGTTGTTAGTTTTTTAAAAAAGTTTTTTTAGGGATAAAGACAATGATACAGGTGAAGTTCGTGTTTACCCTGGTAAATTGCTAGTCTCACAGGCATTCTGCACCATACCTGTTGATTCTAACACCACCGTTGCGGACCTGATGAAAGAATCGCTGAAAAGATTCGATCTTGATTATAAATGCGAAGAGTTGCGCTGCCTGGAAGTTTTGTTGGATAGAGGAGGTATAGAACATCCATAATTCTAATTATTAATAGTAAATCACAAATTTGTTTGTTCTAGTGACGGAACGTGTCTTATCATGGAACGAACGACCGTGGGAAATAATGAAAAATTTGGGAAGAGACAGCATTAGGCAAATGGAACTTATGCGATTTTATATACAACTGAAACAGGATCCGCACGGTCCGAATGTTGCACTGTTTTTAGGAAACTTACCGCCAAATTTATCGGAACGCAATTACGAAAATATTTTAATCGACTTACTTGGCAGAGAAAACAAATTCCTCAAAGTCGGACCCATCTACTACGAATACGGATCAATGGTTATTACTTTCCAAGACTCGGACACTGCTGTGAGGGCTTTATATATTTTAAGGGAATCACGTTTAGAAGAAAAGCAGCCATTACTTGGTAAGAATTTTTTTTTTTAGTATATATTTCAATAATTACCTAAACCATCTGTTTTTAGTTATGCTTCTTCCTAACATTGAAGAAACAATGATCCCAGCTGACGTACATCCTCTTCTAGTATTCGTCAACATCAAATCGGGCGGCTGTCAAGGCCTGGAGCTAATTTCCAGTTTCAGAAGGTTACTGAATCCATACCAAGTATTCGATTTGGATATTGGGGGTCCTTTGCCGGGCCTGTACGTGTTTAGAAACATACCAAACTACAAAATATTGGTTTGCGGAGGAGACGGTACTATCGGCTGGGTACTGCAGTGTCTGGATAATGTAGGCCAGGATTCGCAATGTTCGTCGCCAGCTTGTGCGATTGTACCCTTAGGAACTGGTGAGAATTTTTAGTTAGAAGAAGTTTGTTCATTGCATCAACTAGATTTGAAAATGCTGACACCATTCAGAGATCATAGAGTGGCTTTCTTAATATTTAATTTTCCAATTATCATCTGGGGAATGACGTTATTTTCTGATACGTGTCGCCGTATCTTTATTGCGTAGTTTTTTTACTCAACTTCAAACTGATCATTGTAGTTGTCGTCTGGATGTTCATCGAACTGGCATCTTCTGGATTTGACTGCAAGAGTTTCAGACTTTTCATCAACTTTTCATTGTTCTGTCGTTTCTGCGCTGCCTTTATATTTTCCATGCAGTATGGTTATTTAAAGCTGATTTGATAAAATTTGGGAGGCTTTCGCGGCCCAAGTTTATTGATAAGGGGTTTTCATTCGGGCTTAATGGGCGTCGTAAGTTGGAATTTCTTCCTGACGTTTCGCTAGCACGCGTGGCTAGCATCTTCAGAGGTGCTTCCATGTCCGATTCTGGTAGCAGACTACGCGTTCCCGACCGTAAGTTGTATTTATTTGTGAGTGGCTCTGGTGGGAGAGGGGCAGGGCTTCGCGGCACGTAGCTAATTTCAACTTTCTCTGTACTCAATGGGATCTTTCTTGCGTTTTTGAGAATTGGGTTCCAGATTTGGTTAAGTTTAAGTGTTTCTTCGTTCCTGTTGAAGTTCTCCGTATGTTTGTGGGTTTCTATAGCTTCACGTACAAGATGATTGTGGTATCCGGAAGTCGGTGCAAGAAGCTTGACCGCACCAAAGAGTATTTCATGATTCCCTTCACTAAGCGCATGTTCCGCAACTGCCGATTTTTCCGATTGTCCTAGTCTGCAGTTTCTTTTGTGCTCGTTCATCCTGGTTCCCATGGATCCTTTTGTCATTCCTATGTATACCTTACCACATCTACATGGTATACGATAGACTCCAAGACTCCAGTACTTGACAGTGGGTTCCTCTTATCCTTAGCTGATCTAATTGATTGCTGTATTTTCCTTGTTGACTTGAAGATTGTTTTTATGTTGTGTTTCTTCAAGACTCTCTATCCTGTCTGTCACCCGAGAAATGAAAGGCAGATATGCATTAGCCACAACTGGTTGTTCATCCAGGTTTTGTCGTGTGGCAGTTTTAGGTCACATGGCCCTGTCGATTTCACATGCATTGTCACTATTTGATAAAAAGGCCGACTTGAGATGATACAGTTCTTGCTCGAGATATTGTGGCTCGCAGATGTTCCGAGCACGTTCTGTTAACGTTGTTATAATTCCACGCTTTTGCCTTGGATGGTGGTTTGATAGTGCATGCAGGTACCTGTCTGTGTGTGTAGGTTTTCGGTACACCGTGTGGCATAGTTTTCCTCCAGATTTTTTATGAGCACATGTAAGAAGGCGATTTCCTGGTTTTTCTCCTTTTCCATGGTAAATTCTATGCTAGGATGTCGTATAACATGCCCATGTGGTAAGGTATACATAGGAAAGACAAAAGATCCATGAGAACGAGAACCAGGATGAACGAGCACAAAAGAAACTGCAGACAATCGGAAAAATCGGCAGTTGCGGAACATGCGCTTAGTGAAGGGAATCATGAAATACTCTTTGGTGAGGTCAAGTTTCTTGTACCGACTTCCGGATACCACAATCGTCTTGTACATGAAGCTATAGAAATTCACAAACATACGGAGAACTTCAACAGGAAATAAGAAACACTAAAGAAAGTTGAGATTAGTCACGTGCCGCGAAGCCCCGCCCCTCCCCTATCACAGCCACTCACACATAAATACAACTTACTGTCGGGAACGCGTCAGTCTGCTACCAGAATTGGATATGGAAGCACCTCTGAAGATGCTAGCCACGGGTGCTAGCGAAACGTCAGGAAGAAATTCCAACTTACGACGGCCATTAAGCCCGAATGAAAACCCCTTATAAAGCTGATTTCTTCTACTTTTCTATTCCATCTTCGGTTCCTGACTTTAACTAGGGTCCAAATTCTTGCTGTGTGATGATTCAGAGCAATCCTGTTCCTCTTTAGTCTTCGAGTTCCGTATTCTCCTCGGAGAGTCTCCTATTTTTAGTGATCAAGAATTTTCCCTCTCTTATAAGTTTGTCATCTCGTTGGCCTGATGACTGAGCATTCTTGTAGATTGTGATGATTGGGGTGTCTAGATTATGAACCTCTCTAAATTTTGTGTTCCGCAGATTCGAAGGCTTTTTCACAGAAGCAGCATTCAATTTATATTAAATTCATATTAAATTTATTCCCGGCTCTTGAAATGGGTTACTATTTGAATAAAATAACACAAAATGGGATGAAAATCCCTCTACCAACAAGGCATTTGAAAGAGAATCGAGTTAAAAGGGTGTTGCAGCCAATCAAAAGTCGGAAATAATCAAAATTTCAATTTTAATCACCCAAACTTATTCAATTTATATTAAATTCAAATTAAACTTATTCCCGGCTCTTGGATTGGGTTACTATTTGAATAAAATAACACAAATACGAGAAAAGTACTACAAAAATTGGATGAAAATCTTCTCCCAACAAGCCCCTTGTAAAAGAATTAAGGTAAATGGGTGTTATAGCCAATCAAAAGCCGGGAATAATCAAAATTTGAATTTCAATCACCCAAACGTATTCAATTTATATTAAATTCAAATTAAACTTATTCTCGGCTCTTGGATTGGGTTGCTACTTGAATAAAATAACACAAATGCGAGAAAAATACAACAAAAATGGGATGAAAATCCTTCTCCCAACAAGCCCCTTGTGAAAGAATTAAGATAAAAGGGTGTTGCCAATCAAAAGCCGGGAATAACAAAAATTTGAATTTGGAAGATACTCTGTTAGGCTATCTTTATTCTCATTTCCAATGTTGAAATTTTTGATATTCCAGGATGCAGATTTGCTTGCGAGGTATCATGATGATGATAGAAATAGTAGGAAGTGTTCCTTGTAGTAACCTGAAGCTATAGTCGTCTTCCCTCTGACTTGTTTGATTTCCACGATTTTAGCCTGGTATTTCAACTTCTTTTGCGTAGTCTTTTTGCTCAAACTAATCATTTGTAGTCTTTGTCTAGATAATCATCGAACTAGCATCCTCTTGATTTGACTGCAAGAGTTTCAGCATTTTCATCAACTTTTCATTGTTCTGTTGTTTCTGCGCTGCTTCTGTATTTTCCATGCAGAATGGTTGTTTAAATCTGATTTCTCCTACTTTCCTATTCCATCTTCTATCTTGAGTCCTCTTCTCAAGTTGCCTGACATTTTTGTTCACCAGTAAATATGTTTCCCTTCAGCACTATGATCTCCGGAATCCCCTTCTTACAATATTTTCTGTGGATGCTCAGTGCCAAGACGATATTCTCCAATAAACACAATCAAGATTTGGTGTATCTGAATCCACCCAAATGACATCTTGAGCATTTGATGCTGTCCAGAGTAAATCTTGGTCGGAATCCTGACGTCCAGCCTCACTATGCGCTCAACGTTCCAGATTCTTGGATTCTGAGTTTTCAAGCGTGAAAGAGCGGCATCAACTGACAGATTTTGGGGTCTGGATTTTTATTTGATACAAGGTGCTGTAATCCTTCTCCAAAAGTTGGAAGATGAAGTAAGGCTTCTCTCCGTATCCAAGAATCAAATCAGGGACCAGAGGTAGTCCTCTAGCGTCTTTGACCAACAACGTGGTCATACTTCTTTTCTTCGAGTCGTTTGGCTAAAGTAATTCAGAAGGTATTTTACTTGAATGGACATGGCTGGTGTCTTTATTGTCGTATCCGGTTTGTTGGGCTGACGGTCTTGAAGAAAAGGAAGTCAAAAATTCCTCCTCATCATCAATGGAGTTCTAGTCTCTTTGCCTTCTTCGGTATCAGCCTCCTTTTTCTTACCAGAGGCTACAGGAGATGGTTTTATCTTCCCCACTCATTTTCGGAACGCTGCCTCTTCATCTGAACTTCCTTGGATTAGTTTGGGTTTTCTATGAATCTTCATAAAATCCCCAACTTTAATATACAGGGTGTCCTTAGGTAAACTGACACATTTTGCAGCTAAATAAATATCTCGAAAATGAGAAAAGATAACGAGATGCGGTTTGTTTTGAGAGAATTAGAAGTTTTTAAGATCATTTAAAATTTCTTTTAAATCACCTTTGGAAGCTTCTGAAAAATACTTAAAACAGAGGGACTTCAAACTTTCGGGATTCATTAAGTAGTCTTTTTATCAAACAAAAACTTAGAGCAGGTAAAGCGCTGCCCTACGGACAACAGGAGTAGGAACGCACCATTCTGCTATGAAACTAAAAGTGAAGCCCATTTTCAGCAGGTGTTTGTACACCAAATGACAGGTGAAGCATTGAATTAGCCTAAGGAATTAGCTATACCGCCATTATTTTGGATCTTAAAATACCTGGAAAAAAACGGCTCCAATTTCAAACTTCATATTCCTACTCCTTTCACCTAGGAAATTACCTGCTCTAAGAACAAAATAATCCGCGAGCGGATCTTAGGCTCAGAAATTAAATTATGAATTTTTTCTCACTTAGATGCAATAGAATCAAGTGAAATTTCTATTAAATCACCTCTGGATGCAAACGCGTTGCGCGGATTGTTGCTCGATGATTTTGCTGCTACGTGGTTGCTTGGGGTTAAAGACACTATTGCTTTTTGGAAAGATGCTATTGATTTATTGCGACTTACTTTTACTCCAAAAAAACCTGGTTACGTGAATAATCGAGAATTATTTGCTAGTGAACAAAATTCTAAAACCCCTTCGATGTTTTTATACGTCATTCCCAATATCTTTTAGCCCTGGTACTCTTACTGAAAGTACGGAAATTGACATGATATATAACTGCTCAAAAAGCTTAGGTTAGTCGAAGAGACATTAGCTGATCATTATGAAAGTAAAGTGCTTAATGACAAACCTGAAAAACTTCTAAGTGTCGATTCTGTAAGTACACAGGTCACACTAAAGAGCAATGTCGGAAAAAACAGGCCGCTTAAGCATCAGCAAATCAATCTAGACCAAGAAATGGTACCAATTTGAGTACTGTATCTCGAACTCCAGTTTCTTCCAAAACTTCCAAACAAATAAGATGTTATGGCTGTAATAGACCAGGTTACCTAAAATCCAACTGCCCTACTCGCTCTAAGGCAGTCAACTCACTAGACTAAACCTTTCTTCACAGCCTCGTCCTGTACTGCTAATTTCTGTATTAGGTCTTCAGGGACATGACCTTACAGACACAGCTGCTAAACAAAGTGTTGCCAGCTCCTCTTTATGCAAGGCTTTATTAAAAAAAAAATGTTAATTTTATTGAAAGAAGAACTAGGAATATGTCAAGATTTTCAAAGTCATTGTATGTACAGCTTGGGTACAGGGGTATTCCTACGATTTTCTTGGCTTCACTTAACGCTGACAGAACCTTGTTAGGATGGAGGCACGATGTTAAGGCCTAATAAACATAAACTCATGTCGGATTTATTTGATGATTACCAATACCAAGATATCTTCGCTCTAGGGGGAGAGCCAACTCCCTATGCTGAGCATTCTATTGATACTGGTACCCATGCACCAACATCGTTCCACCCTATCGTATGACCCCTATTAATAAGGAAAAGCTTAAACAAGAGTTGGACAAACTGCTTGTAAATTGTGTTATAGAAGAGAAGCCAGATCTTGGTCTGCCCCAATCGTACTGGAACCAAAAAAAAATGTAGATGTAGTAGGTAGGTAGATTACCGTGCTTTGAACCAAATAAGCACCCCTATATATTACCCATTATCACGGATGGATGACCTACTTCATGCTACCAAAAAGACCTTTTATACATGTCATAGGTACCTGGATCTTGGTTCAGGGTATCATCAAGTGAAAGGGATCACGATAAAACATCGTTCGTTACTCCATTCGGGACTTTCCGATATTTGGTTATGCCATTTGGATTGCAGAACGCGCCTGTTACGTTCCAAAGACTGATAGATCGTTTCCGTAGTGGACTTCCTGACATTCTTATACTTGGACGATATTTTTGTGCTATCAGAGACATTTAAAAAACATTTACTTGACCTGAAGTTTATTTTCGACCGGTTAAGACTATTCAATTTAGGCGAGAATCGCGAGAAATGTACCTTTGCCAGCCAGCAACTTAGATATCTTAGGACATATGATTACCAGTAGCGGTATTCAAGTTAATCCAGAGAAGACTGCGGGCATAAACAGAATGTTACCTCACAAAATGTCAAGCAGGTTCAGTTCTTCTTACAAAGTTGCTCTTGGCGCAGACGATTTATTGACAAGTTTGCTGACATTTCCAGGCCCTTAAGCAATCTTCTGAAGAAAACTTCGACATGGAAATGGGAATCTGAGGAAAAACATGCTTATGAGACACTGAAAAATGCTTTAACAAGCGCACCAGTCTCTAAACTCTGGGTGCTGTTTTGTTGCAGGGAGAGGGTGCTGAAGAACACCCAATAGAGTACGCAAGTAGATTATTAACATCGGCTGAACGGAATTGGAATTACTCAACAACAGAGCGTAAAGCCTTAGCTGTTGTGTGGAGCCTGAGCAAGTTTCGAGGATACTTAGACCATTCTTCAGTTATTAATGCCACAGACCATCAACCGCTTAGATGACTTCTAAACTTAAAAACACCTGCAGGTCGCCTAGCACGTTGGGCTCTTTTAATACAAAGTTACAACTTAAAAATTGAATATCTACCTGGAAAGCAAAATGTTCTGGCAGACATGCTTTCACGACCACCATGTGTGCATGCCGCATGTGTAATATGCTGCTTTTCCGTTGATAACACCAAAGCGGATGCCAGTTGAAGTAAGAACTGAACAATGCAGAGATCCAGAACAAAAGAAAATTCTGGTTTGGTCCAAACTCCGGCTTACAACCAAAGATTTGAGGTTTTGGCAATTGATTTATTTGGCTCTTTGCCAGAGGATGCCAAAGGCCATCGATGGGTCTGTATTATTGAAGATACTGCTACAAAATGGGTAGAATTATTTCCACTGGTTAAACCTACCGCAGAAGAGTGTTCAAAACACTTATTGTTCACGAAAATTTGCGTTAGGTTTTCAAAAGTTTAGAGAGCAGCGGGACTGTAGGCGCTAAATTCAATTTTGCCGGTACACAAATATTAATGGACATAAACCCGAGCCATACAAAGACAATGGAGGATTGGCACTTACTTGGTTTATGCTGGTTTTCGTCGATCCAGAGGAGCTCCTCGAGTCCAGAACGTCTGATTCTTAGCGACACACCAATACAACACAGTCTCAAAAATAAAAATAAGGAATTTCTGCCTTGAATTCGACAGGTTTTGAGATTTTTGATAACGACCGAAAAAGTGGTTTTAGAGACACGGTTTTAGAGACACGGCTTCGTACTGCTTCCTGCTTCCTTCTCATAAATCACATATTTTCCATACGCCGCGTCTGCGAGAACGGTGCCAATTTTGATTTGAACTTGTATGGCATTTAACTTTTTTTTTTCTTTCGAAATTTGGGAATGAATATATAAAATAACAAAGTTGCATGAACACTTATAAATGAAGTCATCTTACGATACGGATTTCCACGTAGAATAATATCAGATAATGGCGTACAATTCGTCTGACGAATTATGCAGCAAGTCTGTCATTACTTGAATATCCGACAAAACTTGACTCCCCTTTTTCATCCTTAAGCTAAATATGGTAGAAAGGAAAAATCATGATCTAAAATCACGACCAGCTCTCCTTGTTAGGGAGAGTCATACAACATGGGCTGTGAAGTTACCAAGCATTCGCTATGCTATGAATACTGCTAAGAGTCAAACCACTGGCTATACTGCTTCATATCTAAACTCCACACGAGAATTGAGAAATCCTGATGAGATATCTAACAATCTTTAAAAAATAACCAATAATGACAATTTTATACCGGAGATAACTCCATACCAAAATACTAAAAACAGATGTATACCACTCTTATTGATGCAAGATTCAATCACGAAAAAGCCCAAAACCGACATTATCACTCGCAAAGTCTCTCCCACCACATATGAAATAGCCAACGTTGATAACCCGAGCCAACCATTGGGTGTTTATCATTGTTGTAACTTGGCTAAGTACTATGGAGAAGAAAATATGGGTCCATTGGTTCCGATCCGCAAAAGAAGTCGCCCAAGGAAAAAACCTGTAAATGATTCTGGTCCCTCGACTTCCACATTTTTTTCTCACTTATAAATCACCTTTGGAAGCTTCTGAAAAATACTTCAAAACAATGAGAGGGATTTCAAACCTTCAGGATTTATTGATTGGGGTCTTTTTTTTAAACAAAACAAACCGCGAGTAAATCTCAGGTTCAGAAATACAATTACGATTTTTTTCTCACTTAGATAAGGGAGTATTTTCATCAAATTTCAGTTATCGGCAATGTTGTAAAAAAAAAAACTGGAAAAAAACCTTATTTTCTCAGAACAGACCGCATCTCGTTATCTTTTTTCGCTTTAGAGATATTCACATACAAAATGTGTAAATTTATCTAAGGACACTCTGTATAGGGTGTTTATAATAGAATAGTGCAAAAATGCGTCCCAACATCCTGTACCTAACCGACGCATTGATTTTTTTTTTCTAGAAAATCGAAACAGAGCCTCTAATAGTTCTCTATAAAATCATTAACTTTCAACTCTATACTGGGTGCGTAAAGAAATTTTTAAAAATGTATAGATACAAATACAGATGTCTCTAACTTTTTAAGGACACTCTGTAAAGAAGCAATAGATTTTTCTGGGATTTATGGCTAAACCATTATTATTCAACAGGTAACGACCTGGCAAGGGTATTAAGATGGGGACCCGGTTACACGGGCGGAGAGGATCCTCTAAATTTACTAAAAGACGTGATCGACGCCGAGGAAATCCGCCTGGACCGTTGGACTGTGGTATTCCATCCCGAGGAGAAAACCGACAAGCAAGAAGATAACGCGAAACAGGTCAATTCCACCGGTAAGAAGAGGCAAAAACTGAGCAAAATGAAAGTGACCAATGAGCAAATTAAAAAAACAGGTCAATCATACATCTACCTGGATGTTGTTTTGCTGTAATTTTAATAATTGATTGATTTTTTCCTCAGTGTTTATTGCAGTGTAGTGTTTTGTTTGTTTGATTTAGTCATGGCATAAATATATAATTCAACCCGGAAAAATTAGAAAACCTGGATAATTTTAGTTGAAAAGCAAAACAGCTTTTATGTCAGATCCTTGAAAAAAACTATATTTGCATGAAGTTTGTAATGTACCTAAATTAAATAGAAAAAAATTGTAAATCCTCATTGCATGCTATTTTTTTTTTGGGTTTACCCAATACATATAGATTGACAGTAATAGAGAAATTCCAAATTTGTATTTGATTTTTCCAAATTAAACCGGTGTTGTTATTGCATGCTTTTGCTTGTTATATTGTTGTAATCAACCTACGAATTCATTTTACGGCAAAACAACATTACCAAATAGTATTTATAATTATTAAAATTTAGGATGTGTGGTACTAATTTTGACTAAAACTTTTCTCGGGCTGTTTTATTGCTTTCTTGAATTTTCAATCGATAAGAAACTATCAGAATGACATAAAACAGCTTTGTGTACAAAATTAATCAAATTTGGACTAGTAAGAATTATTTTGTAGATTATAAAAATTAAATGATTCTTGCCGTTGGTCAGACATGCTTTCTATAATAGATATTAGTTTGTTTTGATTTTTTTTTCACATAGTAGTTGCTTAAATATCTCTCTTTCACCCGGTATCCAAATATTCATTTCCTTATAAATATTTTTACACTTTTCCATCATATATATTTTTCTTTCATTTCTGTTTTGTATGTAAATATATAGAAAAAAATAATTCTTAATAGTTCGATAGCCACCAGTAAATTTGAAGGTAAATATTGAAACATGATGCACGCCTTTTTATTATAGATCACTTTTGAAAATTTTGAAAACAACACACACAATATCTATACCTATATATATTTTTTTTAATGAAATTGAAGGGTAAATTAGTACACAATATATACTCAACTTCATACCTACATAGACAGGAAAACTATCAAACTACAAAAAAAACTTTTGGACTTCAAAGAAGGTCCCTGAAGTAAGTGTCGCTTCGTGGGCTAATGTTAGGATAGGAGTGTTAAAAATCACACTCAAAAAAAAAGTTATAGAAGATTATTCACCTGCTGCTCATTTACAGTTTAGCTAAAACTCCTATAATCATCGCACCATCTCATGATATTATGAGTATCTTGTTCAATGTTTCATGGACTCCAATTTTGAATAGGAGTTATCCATTTTTATGTTATTTTCACAAAGTTCATAATTTCAACCTTATAAAGGAAAAAATAAGTTTTGAAAACAACACATATTCAACTTCATACATAGACAGGAAAAACATCAAACTACAAAAAACACTTTTGGACTTCAAAGAAGGTCCCTGAAGTAAGTGTCGTTTCATGGGCTAATGTTAGGATAGGAGTGTTAAAAATCACACTCAAAAAAAAAAGTTATAGAAGATTATTCACCTGCTGCTCATTTACAAATTAGCTAAAACTCCTATAATCATCGCACCATCTCATGATATTATGAGTATCTTGTTCAATAAATACTTCATGGACTCCAATTTTGAATAAAAGTTATCCATTTTTATGTTATTTTCACAAAGTTCATAATTTCAACTTTATAAAGGAAAAAATAGGTATAGGTATTGAAAACAACACATATTCAACTTCATACATAGACGGGAAAAATATCAAACTACAAAAAAAACTTTTGGACTTTAAAGAAGGTCCCTGAAGTGAGTGTTGTTTTATCGGCTAATGTTAGGATAGAACTGTTGAAGAAAAAAACATAGAAGATTATTCACCTGCTGCTCATTTACAGTTTAGCTAAAACTCCTATATTCATCGCACCATCTCATGATATTATGAGTATCTTGTTCAATGCTTCATGAACTCTAATTTTGGAAAATAGTTATCCATTTTTATGTTAGTTTCACAAAGTTTATAATTTCAACCTTATAAAGGAAAAAATAAGTTTTGGAAACAACACATATTCAACTTCATACAAAGACAGGAAAAACATCAAACAAGAAAAAATTTTGGACTTCAAAGAAGGTCCCTGAAGTGAGTGTCGTTTCTTGACCTGATATTAGGATAGAAGTGTTAAAAATCACACGTAAAAAAAAAAGTAAAGAAGATTATTCACCTGCTGCTCATTTACAGTTTAGCTAAAACTCCTATAATCATCGCACCATCTCATGATAATATGAGTATCTTGTTCAATGTTTCATGGACTCCAATTTTGAATAGGAGTTATCCATTTTTATGTTATTTTCACAAAGTTCATAATTTCAACCTTATAAAGGAAAAAATAAGTTTTGAAAACAACACATATTCAACTTCATACATAGACAGGAAAAACATCAAACTACAAAAAACACTTTTGGACTTCAAAGAAGGTGCCTGAACTAAGTCTCGTTTCATGACTTAATGTTAGGATAGAAGTGTTAAAAATAACACTAAAAAAAAAAGTTATAGAAGATTATTCGCCTGCTGCTCATTTACAGTTCAGCTAAAACTCCTATAATCATCGCACCATCTCATAATATTATGAGTATCTTGTTCATTGGACTCTAATTTTGAACAAAAGTTATCCATTTTTATGTTATTTCCACAAAGTTCATAATTCCAACCTTATAAATGAAAAAATAGACAGGAATCACATCAAACTACAAAAAGAAGTTTTGGACTTCAAAGAAGGTCCCTGAAGTGAGTGTCGTTTCATGGCCTAATGTTAGGATAGAAGTGTTAAAAATTACAGTAAAAAAAAAAAATATAGAAGGTTATTCACCTGCTGCTCATTTACAGTTTAGCTAAAACTCCTATAATCATCGCACCATCTCATGATATTATGAGTATCTTGTTCAATGTTTCATGGACTCCAATTTTGAATAGGAGTTATCCATTTTTATGTTATTTTCACAAAGTTCATAATTTCAACCTTATAAAGGAAAAAATAAGTTTTGAAAACAACACATATTCAACTTCATACATAGACAGGAAAAACATCAAACTACAAAAAACACTTTTGGACTTCAAAGAAGGTGCCTGAACTAAGTCTCGTTTCATGACTTAATGTTAGGATAGAAGTGTTAAAAATAACACTAAAAAAAAAAGTTATAGAAGATTATTCGCCTGCTGCTCATTTACAGTTCAGCTAAAACTCCTATAATCATCGCACCATCTCATAATATTATGAGTATCTTGTTCATTGGACTCCAATTTTGAACAAAAGTTATCCATTTTTATGTTATTTCCACAAAGTTCATAATTCCAACCTTATAAATGAAAAAATAGACAGGAATCACATCAAACTACAAAAAGAAGTTTTGGACTTCAAAGAAGGTCCCTGAAGTAAGTGTCGTTTCATGGCCTAATGTTAGGATAGAAGTGTTAAAAATCACATTAAAAAAAAAGTTATAGAAGTTTATTCACCTGCTGCTCATTTACAGTTTAGCTAAAACTCCTATAATCATCACACCATCTTATGATAATATGAGTATCTTGTCAATGCTTCATGGACTCCAATTTTGAATAAAAGTTATCCATTTTTATGTTATTTTCACAAAGTTCATAGTTTCAACCTTATAAAGGAAAAAATACGTTTTGAAAATAACACATATTCAACTTCATACATAGACAGGAAAAACATCAAACTACAAAAAACACTTTTGGACTTCAAAGAAGGTCCCTGAAGTAAGTGTCGTTTCATGGGTTAATGTTAGGATAGGAGTGTTAAAAATCACACTCAAAAAAAAAAGTTATAGAAGATTATTCACCTGCTGCTCATTTACAGTTTAGCTAACACTCCTATAATCATCGCACCATCTGATGATAATATGAGTATCTTGTTCAATGTTTCATGGACTCTAATTTTGAATAAAAGTTATCCATTTTTATGTTATTTTCACAAAGTTCATAATTTCAACCTTATAAAGGAAAAAATAAGTTTTGAAAACAACACATTCAACTACATACATAGACAGGAAAAACATCAAACTACAAAAAGAAGTTTTGGACTTCAAAGAAGGTCCCTGAAGTGAGTGTCGTTTCATGGCCTAATGTTAGGATAGAAGTGTTAAAAATTACAGTAAAAAAAAAAATGTAGAAGGTTATTCACCTGCTGCTCATTTACAGTTTAGCTAAAACTCCTATAATCATCGCACCATCTCATGATAATATGAGTATCTTGTTCAATGCTACATGGACTCCAATTTTGAATAAAAGTTATCCATTTTTATGTTATTTTCACAAAGTTCATAATTTTAACCTTATAAAGGAAAAAGTAAGTTTTGGTTATAAAAACAACACATATTCAACTTCATACATAGACAGGAAAAACCTCAAACTACAAAAAGAAGTTTTGGACTTCAAAGAAGGTCCCTGATGTGAGTAACGTTTCATGGCCTAATGTTAGGATAGAAGTGTTAGATGACACTAAAAAAAAGTTATAGAAGATTATTCACCTGTTGCTCATTTACAGTTTAGCTAAAATTCAACAACAACAAACAACACTAACTCCACCAACACCTACAAGCTGAGATTAACATCTGCATTTTGCCTTAACAAGATTTTCAATTTACTGATGGACATAATATAATGCATTATTTTATTTTTTTTTTTCACAAAAATTAACCCATGCCTGTAGATAATTAGCCCACTACTTCTCACCCACAACAGTTGCTCACCAAAACTTCATATTCTTGTAGTAGTGGCGAGCGGCACGAGCGAAGACAATTCCCAAATCCTGGTGATGAACAACTATTTCGGTATCGGTCTGGACGCGGACTTGTGCCTGGACTTTCACAATGCCAGAGAAGAGAATCCCGGCAAATTCATCAGTCGATTGCACAACAAAAGCGTCTACGTTAAAATGGGGTTGAAACGTTTCGTGGGCCAGGGCAAGGTTTGCATCAGGGATTTACATAAGCTCGTCCATCTGGAGGTGGACTTTAAGCGTATTAATATACCGCAAGTTGAGGGTATTATTGTACTTAATATTTTAAGGTGGGTTTTGTTTGAGGTTTTTAGCGTTATTGGAATGCAACAAGGATTGTTTTCAGTTGGGGCTCGGGAGCTAATCCATGGGGACCGGAAAACGATAGCAAGTTTGCCAAACCGACGCATTTCGATGGTCTATTAGAAGTTGTAGGTGTTACCGGCGTAGTGCATCTAGGACAAATCCAGTCAGGTCTTAGGTCAGCTATGCGAATTGCTCAGGTAACAATCTGAATCAATTAATTTTGATTTGTCTAATACGAACTCATTTATTTCTAGGGAAAACATATTAAGATACATCTGCACGCTGATATTCCAGTACAAGTTGATGGCGAACCATGGATCCAAAGCCCTTGTGAGGTTGTTATTTTGAAATCTGCGTTGAAGGTAAGAATCTGGATATTTGTTGCTATTGCTAGGTAGATAAGGACTTAAATTAAGCCTAATAAAATTGATACGGCACTGATATTCAATTCTCAACTTAGATTTGATTTGTTTGAATGGAGATGGCGCAGAGGCGTCCTCTACCACTGCAACCTTGTCAGATTTATTGTGGTGTCTCCTGTCCTTAGACCAAGACAACACACAAAGGCGATTTTAGGAATTTTGCCATGGGCTGAGGGAGATTTCGAGAAATTAGATCCGTGGTGTAGATATGAAACTGATCAAGGTCCAACTTCGTGCTAATGACTGAACTTTTCAGAGCTATCTGAAATTCTTCATGGGTTGTGTTGACAATTTCGGTCCAAGCGAGTTGATTACAAGCAGCTGTGAGTGTTTCGTTGATTTGTGAGCCCTGGAGTTCTTGTTTTGGTAGAAGGATCGTACCACCCTGAGTTTCTTTTACTGGAAGCTGTACTCGGTGTAAGGCCAGGCGCCAGTTGGATGGAATAGAATTGGGTTTTGATCGCTTCATAGTATTCAATTGGGAGAATGGCGTTTTTTGTGATAAGTAATGACTTTGGTAGATCCAATTTGGCTTGGATTGAGGTTATCATCAAAGGTTTGGTGGAACTTGTAAAGGTAAAATTTTGCTTTCTCATTTGAGTTGAATTCTGGAAACATAGGAATATGAGTACAATAGTCCTGAGAATGATTTTGAAATATTAAAGTAACGATGAATGGCTCATGGTGGATGCAATCTTTGAAGTATTTAAAGGCTATGTCTGGATTGATAAATGATTTCGTTGCGCCGGTATCTATAAGGAGCTCTCAAGGTGGATTGGCAATAGTATGGTATGGTAGCTCCTTCCGATCGGTATAATTATGTATTTCTATTATGGTTCTGTTTCTGGATCGGTCGCTTCTGGAAAATTTCCTCCTTCAGTGTATTGGTGTTGCTCGTATGCTTGCTGCTGGTAGTTATTTTGTTGTTGTTCTACATCAAAGTAATCATTGTCCATTTCTGGATTGGTGTATCCATAGTGATAATTATTTTGGGTGTCTCCGTGTTGCTCGATATTTTAATGATGTCGTGCTCATTAGTGCTGGTTGCGGAACCGTGCGGTTTGGAGTACCTTGCCAGACATCAAATTGGGGTCGAGGAGTCTGGAATCGTGCAGGCTCTCTAGTCTGGTTGAATGGGGATCTGAATTGCTCTGTTTACTCCTGTGATGTTCTCTGAAATGGAGAAGAGGGCCTCGACTGCTGTTGGATAGAATTTTTAGGTCAGAATTGTTGCGACTGGAATGGTTGCGGGAAAGTCTGGCTGGGTTGCATCTCTATCTGCTTCTGATTATGTTGGTTTGTTTCTGAGCCACTAGGTTGTGGAATCGAGAAGCCTTTTTGAAGGTATCTGATGTTGTTCTCCTCCTAGATAAGCTGCAGCTAAATCGCTGGGCCGTATAGCTCTAATAGTTGATCCTAATGGTTCTCTTAGTCCTACCATGAATGTTGAATGCGCCTGTTATTTTGATGCCCTGGGTAAGCATGTGGTTCTGGAAGCAACATCAAGAGTTTCATATATTAGTTTGAACATTAATTCCTTTTAAGGTGAGTATCGTTTTTGGTTTTTGAAAAGTTTAATGATGAGTGATTCAGTAAGTGAATACGTGTCACTTTTCAGTTCAGAAATTGACTGGTTTTCGGGTCAGTAGGTATCGTACTTAAACAACTTAATAATGAATGAATTGTTGAATATTTTAAAGTAATGAGTGACAAGAAACAAGAATAAGCTTATCGTCAAACACGTCTGAAACCGTGTAGGAATTTAGTGGAAGAATTTCACTTACCTAGTTCAGTTTGAAAATTCACTCGTTTCAATGAATGAATTGCTGAGAGTTTGGAATTAACTATTCACTCATTTATGATGTGTTCACAACGTGTTGCTCACGTCTTTAGGGCGTCTCAAAGACATCCTGAAGACACTGTATGTTACAAAACCCAACGTCTTTCAGATGTCTGCCTGAAGACGTCTTTAGGACTCTTTAGGATAAGATTTGAAATTTGAAAATATTCTTCCTCTGATTGGCCTGATACTAAAATGTCATTGATATACAGAGTGAGTTTTAAGTATGGAACGTCTCAATTTTCTTGAAAACGGCTTGCACGATTTTTATGAATTTTGGTGTGAACGAGTCTTGCAGTCTTGCAGTCTGTCAAAGTTGTGAAAAAGTCTATTTTCAACTATCAATGATTCGGAAACAGTTGAAGATAGGTATATGACATTGCACATGAAATATGTCTAGAATTCTCCGCAGAACCCAGAAATGTCATAATATACAGGGTGATCCATTTGAAAAAACAAAGTTTCAGATATTTCCTGAAAAACCAAAAATCTGAAAACCATGTAAATACTACCATATTATCGGCCATATTGTAATACTGGTTCAAACCATAAGTCATAAAAATCGTGCCGATTTTGAGATAATTGAGACGTTCCATACTTAAAACTCACTCTGTATGCCGTGATTCCTTTCAAACCTGATAACATGGTATCCATAACTTGTTGAAAAATGTCTCCGTAACTTTTATATCGAGTCTTCAAAAAAAAAAACAATCAAAGATTGCTTTGGTTACGAAAACGTAGGTCGCATTATTGTTTCCTTATTGGTCAGGATTTTTGACATGACATTCTGACATTAAACTTCATTGACAAAATTAAAGTAAAATATTGCTAAGACATACGTTTGAAAAATCATAGCAATCTTTGATTGGTTTTTTTTTTTGAAGACCCGATACCAAATGGCATATTTTAATGATTCTGTATTGATAAAGTTTTGTGAGGTTTTCGCGGCCCAGGTTTATAAATAAAGTTGTTTTATTCGGGATTAATGGCACTAATGGCAATTAAGAACCTGAATTCTGTCAGCGGAAGATATGATCATCCTACCTGCGGATAAGGGCAACACAACTGAAGACTACAACCGGAAAATTCAGGAACTCCTGGATCCATTTATCTACTGAAAGCTAAAGAAGGATACCACCCAAGCCAAAATTCACAAACCTGAAGTCAAGCTAAGACCCATAGTAAATACACCTGGAGCACCAACGTACAACTAGCGAAACATCTTGCATCGCTTCTTCAACCGCATGTAGGAAAAACTAGCTCTTACATCAAGGACTCCATTCACATTGTCCGGAATATTAGGGATATTATTCTTCAACCTGAGGATATCCTGGTCAGCTTTGATGTCGTGTCTCTATTCACAAAAGTGCCATTGACAGAATATCTTGACTTAATACCTATCAGGTAGGTACAGTTGCGATCAAAAAAAAGTAGTACAAAAATTATTAACTCCAATTTGAGCTCCCGGTGTAACACAAAATTTTGACAGTAAATAAAAAGGCAGTGACATATTCTAGGTTAAAAACAGGTGGAAAAATGCCAAAGTAATGTCATCTGAAGCTTTCTAGGTTAGAAACTTATCGAAAAATGCCAAAAATATGTCATTTTTGGTTATGAATTAAATTAATGTACCAGGAGATTATAGAGATTTTTCTTGTACTACTTTTTTTTTATTGTAACTGTACCTTCCCCAATGACATAGTTGAGCTTTTCCAGAATTGTCTCACTGGTAGTTACTTCCAGTGGAACGGCGATTTCTACGAGCAAACGGACGGAATCTTCTGACCACAAACCAACGGTATGACTTCGATACGCAGTTGATACTTTTGTGGTTTGGAGTCATGGGGAAGAGAAGCTTAACCGGTTCCTAGGTTACCTGAATGCACAAGAAATCGCCTTCTTAGATAGGCTCGTGAATAAATCTGGAGGAAAACTAAGCCACACGGTGTACCGAAAACCTAAACACAGAGACAGGTATCTGCATGCACTCTCAAACCACCATCCAAGGCAAAAACGTGGAATTATAACAACGTTGACAGAACGTGCTCGGAACATCTGCGAGCCATAACATCTCGAGCAAGAACTGGATCACCTCAAGTCGACCTTTCTATCACATGGTTACAATGTATCTGGAATCGACAGGGCTATGCAATCCGCTGCTACACGACAAAACATGGATAAACAATCAGTCGTAGCTCATGCATATCTGCCTTTCATTTTTCGGGTGACAGACAGGATAGGGAAAGTCTTGAAGAAACACAACATGAAAAGAATCTTCAAGCCAACAAGGAAAATACAGCCATCAATCAGATCAGCCAAGGATAAGAGGAACCCACTGTCAAACGCTGGAGTCTATCGTATACCATGCACATGTGGTAAGGTATACATAGGAACGACAAAAAGATCCATGGGAACCAGGATGAACGAGCACAAAAAAAAATGCAGACTAGGACAATCGGAAAAATAGGTAGTTGCGGAAAATGCGCTTAGTGAAGAAAATCACGAAATACTCTTTGGTGAGGTCAAGCTTCTTGCACCGACTTCCGGATACCTACCACAATAATCGTCTTGTACGTGAAGCTATAGAAACTCACAAACATACGAAAAACTTCAATAGGAAAGAAGAAACACTGAAACTTAACCTAATGTGAAACCCGATCCTTAAAAACACAAGAAAAATCCCATTGAGTACAGAGAAAATTCAAATTAGCCACGTGCTGCGAAGTCCTGCCCCTCCCTCACCACAGCTACTCGCACATAAATACAACTTACGGTCGGGAACGCGTCAGGAGGCGTCAGTCTGCTTCCAGAATCGGACATGGAAGCACTTCTGAAGATGCTAGCCTAGCGTGCTAGCGAAACGTCAGAAACAAATTCCAACTTACGACGGCTATTAGGCTCGAATGAAAACACTTTTACAAGAATCTAATTTGTTCAAAATTCTGGTTCGTATTTCACTATCTTTGATTTGATGAAAACTGTGCGAAATTAAAACTGGAAAATCCACAGGTTGCTTATAGAATGGTAATCGATGAAAGATTTTAAAATGAAATTGAAAGATATCGAAACTGAAAAGGATATTTTTTCACCTTACCTTGCTCTACTTCCAAACTCCACTCAGCTGGCCAGCTCATTCAGGAAGTTCAGGTCCAATGCGTAGGAGTGCAACGAAACCGTCTTGATTTAACCGGTCGCGGCAAACGAAAAACCGCGGGTCTATTTTCTCGAACCACACGAAACGGGCGAAGTATTTTTGGCAACTGATTTACTTGTCGGCAGTGTAAGGACTTTGCCGGTATCCTTTTTCAGTGTTTAACGCGCGCATTTTTAAAAGCCAAATTTAGCAAAGCCGTACCTATGATTCTTAAGCATTGAGCACGCGCAATTCAATTAGAATAAGAGAAAACAAAAAATAAAGAAAAAACGTATCAATTTTCATTCCCAAATAGGATTTGACATCCTAAATACCCAATTTAACCTACAACTATATACAGGGCGTGTAGACCAAAGTGAACAAAAACTGACCCAAAAATTCTTGCTGACTTTTGAAAAGAAATTCTTGCTGAGTCCTTAGGAAAGTTGTAAGAACTTCTGTCATTTGTTCCATGTTTAAGTGTAGCATTCTAAATGATTTCCAGGAACTTCCGAATCGAATGAGAAACGATTTCAGTTGAAAATTTTTGTAGATATCTCAAAGACGTCCCTAAGATGTCCATAAAGAACATTGGAACATTGCTTACGTCTTAAAAACATCTTGAAGTCGTCGTATGTTGCAAAACCCAACGTCTTTCAGACATCTTTAGGTCTAAGACATTCTGAAGACGTTTTCAACGAGATTTCTTAAAAACGTCTTTGAATCTCTTTTTAATACATAAACCATTATTCACTTTTAGGCCTGGCTATACCAAATAGTTGTCTTTAGGATGTGAATTAACCACATCTGATGGACATCTTCAAAACAACGTCTTTTTTTAGTCTTCAGACGTTGAGTCGTGATGCAGACCTAAAATAGTGTGCTGTCTGGGCTCTACTTCATACCCTTCCCAACCTACTGACAGCATTGTAAATCTGAGAGAGATTGTTTTGGTCCAATTTCCTTCACATAATGTTTCAACAGTTGGATCATTTCTAGAATTTCTAAAATTCTCTCTTTTTCCAGGCTACAATGTTAAAGAAAAAGAAATTCAAGCGTCGCCCGACGGAACCGAATTTGGAACCGGCGACCAGCGACGCCGACGCCAACACGAACGGCGAAGACGGCCAAAAACCAAGCCAAATAGTAGACGATGCCAATCAAGCGACACCGAATCAGTCTACAATCAACCAGATTCATCAGTGAAAGGGAAAAATGACGTGTTTAGAGATTATTTTTCGGTTATTTATTTTATAAAACGTTGGTTAATATTTGACAGAGACAGTTGACCTGATTTTTGAAGGTGTAGTTTTTTTTGCGTTAAAATTTTTAGTCTTAGTTTTATGGGTAAATTGAATATTTTTTTAGATTTTAAAGTATATCAAAGACACAAAAAAAAAAGAAGAAAGTTTTTAATTATTATTTCAATTAAATAATTTTCTATATTAAATATAAACTTTAATATTAAGTCCTTTTTCAAAACATCCAAGTGATTAAGTATAATTCGATAAGCTATTTTTCTCTGACGTTCCATGCCCTATGGGCTATTTTATTTAGAAATTCACTATTGTGTAGAATCGGGCATGGAAAAATTAAAACAATTTTTACTTTTCAAAAAAATAATTGTAATCGCTCGATTACGTTTATTGTATGGTACTTATTACCAAAATCAACTTTTTTTGCACAAAAAAATGGTGTTGATTTGATTTTTTATTGAAATATCAAATTAGTAATCCGATTCCTTTTTCAAAAATTAAATCTTCCCAACAAACATTCCTTTTTTTCATCATAAAATTGCCTTTTTTAGCAAAAGAGAGGGCATTTAGTAAGTAGGTTGGGTTGATCCTTAAATCATAATCAGAGATTGTTGGTACAACAACTATTAATTGCTTCAAATAATTAATTAAATCAATATTTGAAGCATTTAATTTAGTTAGAAGTAATTAGTTTTCTCTCAAATTTAATTTCTCAATCATAAAAAAAAAGTTATAGTGAATAAGGAAGTGCCAAGGCTCGACATACAAAACTATCGCCCCCTTACAAAATTTCGTTGATGAGTTTTAGCAATAATTAATGTTATTAAAACTTATCGTTAACGTTTCTTTTTTTAGCGATTTTCTTGTACGTCAATCAGCCTCTAACGTTAATCTTGCTCTCCAGGAAGCGACATTTAACGTAAAAGTAAAACCTGCCACGGTGGCGTCGGGCTCAATTTCATATGCGCGCATTCTGGAGCTTACGTATATGAAAAGCGACCATGACAGGTTTTCAAAAAAATAAATAAATTATAAATAATATATATAAAAATTATACCGTCTCTTTATTTTGGCTAAAACAAAAGCGTTTAATATTTTAAAACAAAAAATATATAAAAAAATCCAAGTATATAATTTTTAATTATTGTAATATACATATAAATAATATATTTTAAAAGGACAGTATTTAAAAAAGGAAAACTGTAGTTCGTTTTATTCTGGCCCGCTTCTGGTGTCTGAGGCACAAATTCAAATAAAAAAAAAAACGTAAAATTCGGATCGCTCAGAAGTGGGGTTGAAATTATATATTAATGTAAAGTATAATACATGTTATAATAGTAAATTAAACTATAGCTAAAATATAACTTATTAAGTAATTATTTTTAGAGTTTTAATTTACCTATTTCAAGAATATTTTTCTTATCACCAGGCAAGTCGTATTTCTTGTATTGAAGATATCCGTAGTTGTCAGAGACTCATAATATTAGCAACAAATCAAATGTTCAAATACCAGGCTATGACTCTTTTTTCAATGGCAATATAGGGGAGAGTCGGGTATTGGTGCGCACCTAAGCCACTCACCATATTTCGGAAAATTTAAAAGGTCAGGATATTTTTCTGAGATGCATATCGATAGTTTGATATATAAGCTACTATATTCCCATGTCAAAACGGTACAGTTTGAATTAGGAAAATGACAACAGCTGATTTTGTAAAAAGTTGCATTGCGCACAATTACCATACTGAAGCGGTTAATGGTGCGCATAGGTATGGTAATCGTGCGCACGCTAAGAGATTTAACTTTAGCTAGCTTTAGAGCATGATCTTTCAATTCCCTTTCTTGGTTTGGGGAAAAGACGCAGTATTTACCAAGATGAGGTTCCGTAATACTAGCGCTATTATATATAAAATTCCCTTTTTCTTTTTCTTATTGAAGATTCCGGAATACTAAAAATCTTCTCCCAGCTGCTCGAATTGCCCCTCCTCCCTGAATAATAGTAGATTATACCACGAGTCAATAATGATAGCTATTATTCCCGAGAATTATTACGAACTGAGCCGCGTTAGCGGCGAGGGAGTAACATTCCGAGGGAATAATAGCCATTATTGCGAGTAGTATACTCTACTTTATTTACGACAAATAAATTTATTTGAGATTTTCAATGAACAAATTTCATCCGTCTCATAATTTTCAATACAAATCCACAAGCACTACACGTCTGACACTGACACTTTTGTGGAATAATGACCATTAATCCCGCTACTCGTCATTAATCCCTGGAGGAATAACATATGTCATTATACTGCCAAAATCACAAATATAATACGCACATTATACATTAGTCGTAAATAAAGATAATTGTGTTTCTCATTGAATCTGTGTCCCATGACGCCTTTGTGCGTGTATATTTGGACATCTTAAATAAAATTAAATTAAAGTTGTGGGTTATGTATAGACATAAATAAAGTCGTCTATAGTGCGCACGTCTGGTAATGGTGCGTACCTGCGCACCATTAGATGCCTTGCATTTTTATTTATTAGATTAAAAACAAAAGAAAAATTAAACAAATCTTCAACAAATAAATAAACTAACTTATAAAGAAAAGTACAATGAACAAAACTGTCTAATCAGAATTTATTTATCGCTTAATGTGCAATACTTACAGCTTATTTTCTGGAGCCACAAAACAACACTGAGACAGGCAAATTTGCAGATTCGGCCATATTTAATATACAGCGTTGCCACTTAGTATTAGTTAATTTTATGCATTTACCACATGATAAATAGATGGCGCGGGAATGGTTTTCATTCATATATCTCAAAGGGTTTTTCGTTTATCATGGTGCGCACCATTATCGAACGCGCACCAATATCCATCTCCCCTACAGGATAAATATGACGGATTTATGTTGTAATTTAGGAGTAATTTGGTTAGGGATAGTAAAATTATATATAACTATAGGCTCAACACATTCTGTTAGAGTTATGTTAAGTAAAAATAGTACCAACAATTATTGATATAGTTGGATATTATAGGCTTCCATCTTTGAGTGTGGAAGACTTATTGATGCATTTGGATGAGCTGATGTTGTCTGTAAAAATGGGTTAAAAACAAGAATTGGAATTGTAGACTGGTGGACATTTTCAGAAATTTTACTCCGAGCGGAATTTCGTGCGACATTTAGCAACTTGACGTTTCTATCCGGATGTTGCCAAGCCGAATTTTGCCTCCAAAGGCCCCAAATCCAAGATGGCGGCCAAACTAGGGACCTAAATGACATTTTTCTTAAGTGTATCGTTATTGACCAGCGAGATGTCGTTTCATATGTTTTTGGGGTCGCTTAACATGAATGAATGAATGAGTACCGGAAGTCGATTCGGATACCGGAAGTACCATGTAATTCAAGATGGCGACCGTCGGGGGCCTAAATACAGAACTTTCAGAAGTTGGCATATATACTACGTTTTCATGGAGTTTTGAAATCGTTTTGAATACGGTTTTGGTATTGAAAACGCCATGAAAACAGGTACTGAAATCGATTTCAGTCTCAAGGTCGTTTCACCTTTTTTTGGGATCGTATCGAGATTTAAATTCAAAAACATGCAATTCGATTTCAATTCTAATTTTGCCTCTGCATGAAAACGCAGAAGAGGATTGGATTCAAAACGATTTGAAAACTCCATGAAAACGTAGTTATTGTCAAGTGCGGCGTATCGGCACATATGTTTTTGACGTCGACTAGATCAAAAATTAGCACCAGAAATCGATTGGGCAACCGGAAATACCGCAATCCAAGATGGCGACCGGTTGGGGCCCAAATGCAAAACATTAAAAAGTTATATATATATTATCAAAATCCCCGAATACCATAATATATGGTGTAGGGGTGTAATTCACTTAGAATTACATTATATTACATTATACAACTAAATAAAATTTTATTCGTGTACAAATTTTGCCCATTGTTTTTTTATCTTTTGCCATTCTTCTTGCCTGTGCCCAGGTCTTTCCTTTTTCTTGCAGTATGCTTCCGATAACTCCATCACATGTTTGTCTTGGTCTTCCTCTTTTCCTTCTTTTTTCTATCTTTGAGTATGGCAATACTCTTTTGACTGGTCTAATGTCGTTCATCCTTTCTAGATGCCCCCACCCAGCTTAATTGTTGCTTTTCAATGAACTTGAGTGTTGATTCTATGTCAAGGTCTTCTCTTATTTCTGTATTTCTCAGTTTATCCATCTTTGTGACACCTCTAACTCGTCTGAGATACTTCATTTCAACTGCCTGTATTTTACTTTTTTGTCTGTTTGTCAACACCCATGATTCACATCCAAATGTTAAAATTGGTCGATATATTGTTTTAAATACATTTATCTTTGTTTTCCTTGAAATTTCATTTTTATTTATAAACGCCGAATTCATCATGTAGTAAAGATTTGTTGTTTTTTCTACTCTATTGTTAATTTCTATTTCTTGTCTGCCATTGTCTTCTATTTCTACTCCCAGATACCTACTTGAATGTTTTTATTTGTTCGATTTTTATTCCATCTATTTGTACATTTATATCCATTTGTTCCTCTCCTATAGCCATAACTTTAGTTTTGTGTTTATTTACTCTCATTCCGAATTCTTCACAAACCGCATTCCAAATTTCTATATTTTTTTGTAAGTCTTCTTCTTTTTCTGCCATAATTATTACATCATCTGCAAAAGCTCCCTCTGATATATCTACTCTTTTCAGATTCTGCTTGAAGATTTTTTGATTATTTCGTCAATAAAGATCGTAAATAATAATGGGCTTAGTCCTCCTCCTTGCCTTAATCCTTCTTGCGTTGAAAACGCTTCTGATATATTATTTCTATATATTACACAGTTTATGTTGTTGTCGTATATGTTTTTAATTATTCTTATTATTTTAGTATTAACTCCCCTCTCTTCCAATATTTTCCATAACTTCTCTCTTCGAACTTTATCGAAAGCCTTTTCAAGATCTATGAATCCCATATACCATTTAAGTATCTGATGCCACTTTTATTTTTTTTAAAATCGCTCACACACGTAATTTGATTGTGTGAGTGTTTGACAACATTTTCAGCACTAACTTAACCCTCTAGGGGGGGTGGACCAACTCTTACCATTACAAATGGAACAAAGGGTCGAGTGATACCTGTTTTGAAAGAGTGTTCAATTTTCTTTCAAGTGTCATCAAATGAAAGAGAATTGAACGCTCCTTCAAAAGAGGTATCACTCGACCCCTTGTTCCATTTGAAATAGTAAGGGTTGGTCCCACCCCGCCTAGAGGGTTAAAATTGAAGTGCTAAAAATGGTTGCAGAAAACTTCCCCCTTCGAAAATCAAATTACGTGTACGAGCGATTTTTTCAAAAATAAACGTGGCATCAGATATTTAGCCTGTTTCGTTTTAAATGGTACGCGCCCTGTATACTAATTTTCCTTGCTGTGAGAACTTTTCATTTATTTGTTTTACTGTGAATATGTGATCATGTATGCTTCGGCCTTTTCTAAACCCACTTTGTGACTCTTCGAGGGTATTCTCTATTGTATGCCTTATTTTTTTGTCTATAATTTTCCTGCAATTCGTTTATGGTTATATTTTCCTCATTTTCTTGATTTTCTTCTATCACATCATTTTCTTTGTTTTCACTTTGTACTATTCCATCGGCTCCTAGTAATTTCTGTAAATATTCTCTCCATACATTCATTATTTCATTTTCATTTGTTAGCCTCTCTCCGTCTTTATTCTTTATCCAACCTATTTCTTGTACTTTCTCTTTGCGTAACGACTTCAAAGTTTTGTAGAATAGTTTTTGATTTGATTTGCTATCTCTTTCTATTTTTTCACCAAATTCTTCCCATTGGTTTCGTTTTGCCACTTCTACCATATCTTATTTTACTGTTTTTCTGCTCTCTTTGTACCTTTCATAATTTTGAGTTGTTCTATTATTTATATAAATCTTCCATGCTTTTTTTTTAAATTTTACTTGCCTCCTTATTTCTTCTGTCCACCATGCTGTTTGTTTTTTCTTATTAGTTTTCTTACTAGTGCCACATATTTCTTTTGTTGTCTCCATAACTATTTTCTTTAAATACTTCCACATGTCTTCTACATTAGTATTTTCATTTATGCACGTATCATTAGCGAATCTTTCTGTTAATGTTTTCTTGTATCTCTCTGCTATTTCTTTATTTTGTAGTTTGTATGATTTCACTGATTCATATTCTATTTTTTTTTTTTCTATCTTTTGACAATCATGTTTTATATTCTCTACTGGCTCTCTAATTTTTGTGACAAGTAAAAAGTGGTCACCTCACTACCTATTTCCGGCCCTCTTCTAACCTTGGTATCCAATACTTCCTTTTCTACTAATACATAATCTATTATCGACTTCTCATTTCTACTTTTCATCTCTCGTGTATATTTATGTATCTCTTTATGTCCGAAAAATGTATTAGTTACAATAAAGTTATGTAGCACACAAAAATCAAGCAGTCTTTCTGCATTATTATTCCTAACCTTTTCGCCATGTTTTCCTATTACTGTATTATATGTGCCATCTTCTATTCCCACTCTGCTGTTAAAATCTCCAAGTATAATTATTTTTCCTTTTGCATCTTCTGTGGCCATGGTTAAATCTTCCCAGAATTTATCTTTATTACCTATTGAATCGTCTTCATTGGGTCCATACACAACTATAATAGTTCTTATGCTTTTATTCTTATCTTTAAGTTCCAACACTAATAATCGTTCCGACCAACCTTTCCGCTTACTCATTTTCTCTTTTTATGTCTTTGTGAATTATGCATGCAACACCCGCTGCTGCTCTTTCTTCTTTCTTAATTCCACTGTACACAAGTATATGGCCATTATCCATATTTATCATTCCTTGTACCTTCTTCTTTGTTTCTGTAATGGCTAGCAGTTTCAAGTCTGTGTTTTCGAATTCTTCTTCTAGTTCTTTTTCTTTCCCGAACATACTTCTAATATTCCACGTACCTATTTTACATATTTCCTCAGTTTTCTTGTTATCACTAACTTCCTTATTCATAGTCAATTCCATTGCTGTGTTGTTTTTTCCATTCCTTGTATTGTTCGTTTGGCTATTCAGTTTTTTGATAAGGTCGTTCCTGTCTTTTTTAATTTATTTATTTCTTTATTCCATCTCCACTCCTCTGCATTTACCGTTACCTTATTGAATCCTATCTTTACTTCTTTGCCTTTTTGCCTTTCCTGATTTACAAATATTCTTATTTCTTTTTGTTTTTCCCTTTCCTGCTTGGTCATATCATCATTTATAAAAACTCTTCCTCCTCTCATGTCCTTTTAGTTTTGTTTTATTTTCCATGATTTTCCTCTTATCCACTTCATTTTGTAGTTCTATTATCCAGGTTCTCTCTGCTATCCTGGTAACTGATTTAGGTGTAATATTAACTTTTAATTGTTGGTTCAAAAATGCCTTCACATCTTTTACCAGTACTTCCGGCTCGTTGTTATCAAATTTTAATCCATTCATCACTACATTATTCTTTCTTCTCTCCTTATCTATAATTTCTATTGTTTTTCGCACCTGTTGCAATTCGGTTTTTATTTCTGTATTCTCTCTTTTAATTTCTTAATTTTCCCTTTTCAATACTTCGTTCTCTCCCTTTAATTTTAAGAGTTCCTCTTTAAGCTCTTTTTGGTCTGCAGACATTCCCTTCATTAACGCTAGCATTTCTTCTAATCTTTTATCTTTTTTATTTCTTGGAGTTCTGTTGCTTCTCCTATTGTTTCCAAAAAATTCATCCATTTTTCTTTTCTTCGAATCCTCTGTAGAGTAATCATCACTGTCCATTTTCAACTGTTGATTTTCGTGGTAGCGTAAGACCAAAACCCAGATCTACTCTATAGAGGTACCTACTTGGTCTATCCACTCACTTTTTTATTTCTCTATTTGGCTTCTTTATTTTAATTTCTATTTTTTTTTTAAATTAAAAAGTTGCTATACTTAATATGACGTGCTGGGTATGACCACAAGTGTTTTGGAGGTCGCTGAACACGAATTTGAGGTCGGAGAAGCGATAGGAAACATCTTAATACAGGTTTGCCGAAATAAAATAGTACAGCTATACTTTGAGAGGTAAACAAAATGCACAAAACATTTTACATAAATACGTCATCACTGTCATTGTTGTTTTCGCAGTCTGCCTGACACTTGCACAACTTGGTTCAGACCTCTCCCTCTTGCCTGCAGCCTGTGCCGCACCCTGACCTGCTGCCACAACTCAGTAACTGCGTGCAGGACTTGGGCACTGCTGCCAGGGTGGTGTAGACTGGGATGTAATTCTCCTCCAGAGGCTCCAGACGCCGCATCCGTACCGGCAAGGATCAGGAAGGTCTGGCCTTGCTATATGTGCATTCAGCTAGACCCCGGCTTCGTATGTGGCTCGGAAAATGTGAAGACGGGCTGCATCAGACGTAGCTGAAAGCAATTCAGGACTTAAAACTTTCCAAAAAGAATGTGTCTCACTTCATCATAGGTATTTTCTCTTCTCTTATACAAAAGTACCATGAATTGCTCGCACTTTGACAAAAATCTCTTCTGAACTTCTACAACTGCGAGTCGATCAAGAAGTTTGGAATGTGTACGATATACAACTAGAGCACCTCTCTTTCCTATACCTGTAATATGGATTTAAATAGGTGTCTAGTGCAGCAAAACTATACGTAAAAAAAGTAAACGGGAAACCGACCTGCTATGAATGAGTTTTGTGTCAAAACCGGCCAGCGCATGGAATATAAGGATATTGTTTCGCTCACTGAGAGACATTGACGCTGCAACTGTATGAATAGGTACCTACGTACTTTCTGTCCTTAGCAGTACCAGCCATCATAAAACATTATTTGCATTTCATTCTCTTAAAATGGTGCAGGAGCAAAACAAATACGTCTGTGTCTCTTGCAGGCACAACTCTACTGTGCGTACTGTTTACTGCATGGAGGATAATACGAATATCAGCCTCTTCGTGCGTAGATTGCAAGGACGAGCAATCCATCTCATTGTCAGCAGATACTTGTAATTCGTCAGCAAATCTTCCAGCGACAACCACTGTAGTCTGCACGTAATCGGCTGTCAATATTTCATTTGAAATAAAAGCTGCTAACTCTAACTTTGTTCTCATCAAGCGCGACATAGTTGGACCAATTCTTAGGAAGAGGCACTGTTCTTGACGTTAAAGCCTTGCGAATTGGGCGTGAAGATGCAGTTCTCTTCTGTCGCGTTCCAGCTTTAATGGATATTATATTTTATACATAATTAATTATGTATAAAAAAGGAAATAACATTGTTTGGAAGACGCCCGAATGTTAGTATAAAACCTAGTTACCTGTCAAAAACTACGTCAACTCTTTGATAATTCAAGCTCATATTTCTAATCCTGTTCGTTACAGCATTGGCCAGGACTCCAAATGTTTGCGCATTTTGCGGCTTTCCAATGCTCATTATAAGCGCTTGTCCGTCAATTATGAGATAGTCGTTCCCTCCAGCAGGTAATTTGTTTGGAACTTGAACATTCAGGAAAGAGAGGTGCTCTAGTTGTATATCGTACACATTTCAAGCTTCTTGATGGACTCGCAGTTACAGAAGTTCAGGAGAGATTTTTGTCAAAGTGCGAGCAATTCATAGTACTTTTGTACAAGAGTAGAGGAAATACGTGTGATGAAGCGAGACACATTCTTTCTGTAAAAGTTTTCAAATCCCGAATTGCGCCCAGCTACCTCTGATGCAATGCGTCTTCACATTCTCCGAGCCATCTACCAAGCCGGGGTCTGGCTGAATGCACATATAGCAAGCTTCCTGATCCTTGCCGGTACGTATGGCGTCTGGAGGAGAATTACATCCCAGTCTACACCACCCTGCCAGCGGTGCCCAAGTCCTGCACGCAGTTACTGAGTTGTGGCTGCAGGTCAGGGTGCAGCACAGACTTGTGGAAGTGCAGGCGGGAGGGAGAAGTCTGCACCAAGTTGTGCAAGTGTCAGGCAGACTGCGAAAACAACAATGACAGTGATGATGTATTCATGTAAAATGTTTTGTGCATTTTGGTTACCCCTCAAAGTATAGTTGTACTATTTTATTTCGGCAAACCTGTGTTAACATGTTTCCTATCTCTTTTCCGACCTCAAATTAGTGTTCAGGGACCTCCAAAATACTTGTGGTCATACCCAGCACATCATATTATAACAACCTTTCAAAGTTTGGTATTTGGGCTTCAACCGGTCGCTATCTTGGATTACGGTACTTCCAGTTGCCTAATCGATTTCTGGTGCTAATTTTTGATCTAGGCGACGTCAAAAACATATGTGCCGATACGCCGCACTTGACAATATGCCTACTTCTGAAAGTTCTGTATTTGGGCCCCCGACGGCCGCCATCTTGAATTATGGTACTTCCGGTATCCGAATCGACTTCCGATACTCATTTTCATGTTCAGCGACCCCAAAAACATATGAAACGACATCTCGCCGGTCAATAACGATACACTTTGAGACAAATGTCATTTAGCCCCTTAGTTTGGCCGCCATCTTAGATTTGAGGCCTTTGGAGGCAAAATTCGGCTTGGCAACATTCGGATTCAGATTCAGCGGGGTCGAAATACCCTAGAAACGTCAAGTTGCCGGATGTCGCACGAAATACCGCTCAGAGTAAAATAGAGTACGATTTCTGGGAATTTCCACTAGTCTATTGTTTTTGGGAGATATAAATAAAAATATTGAGGAAAACCACCTATTTAAAATATTATTTCTTCAAATTTTAACTTTTTGTGTTGAGATTTTGATTTTTGGATTCAGAGCGTGCATTAGAGCCTTGTTGAATTTACTAACATTTTCCTACCCTGACGAGAGAATATCCTATATAACAAATTGAAATAATCAATCTAGAGATATTGGCTCAAAAACAACTATAGCTGAGTAGCTTCCCGTATGGGACCTCAGTACCTGCTGGGAAACTGGCTTACTAACCAAAAACTCTTCAGTTTGGAATATAGGTAGTGTTGATTGAATGTAGTGTATGTAATTGAAATTTTAGCACAAGAACAAAGGATGGTACCTAATTTAAACTTTTATTGACATAAATCATTGAATTATTGACTCACGATGATTATTTAAAATGAAACAGTATGTTTCGATTTTTGAGGAATGTTAGACCGAGGGTTTCTCTGCCGTGCTCTTTCCCCTCATTAGTTCCAGGATGAGAACGGTACGTTTTTCTTTGATAATAAAGGAGACGTTTTTCGTTTATTTTACATATCACAACTTCCCTTAAATTTCCCAAATATTTGCTATGTCGGGCGCATGTCCAGTAAGTAAAATTGAGTAAGTTTCCACAACGTAGGTCCTATTTTTTTTCTTCATTTCGTTTTTCAGAAGATTTGTTGTTTAAAAGGTAATAAAAAATTTCATCGTTCAATCTTACTGAGCGAACCCGGGTATCTTATACTACAATATTCTTTCTGAGGACACCTTGGTGGTTACAGAATGTCTGAATTGTTTGCTGGGGAAAGGTTACTGCTGTGCAGTAAACAAACCTACTAGGGCGAGACAGTTGCCTCATGTCTAGATCATATTTTTATTAGAGATATAGCTCTTACTAAAGAGTCAAAAATACTTTATAGTGGTATCTCAGATCATTACCATTACCCAGTTAATTACATCTAGTATTTTGTTAAATAGGATACATGATAAACTTTAAAACATACCTATACATTGTGGAACCGAATCTCAGAGATGAGAGATGGGAGAATTAGACCGTGAGATAGGGCCTGTTTAGTAGAGTCTTTTTTTTTTGTCTGGCATTTTGAGGGATGAATGTGGCTAGTTAGCTGATGAGAATATAGGTGGTTTTAGTGCTTGCCACCTGTTCGAAAATTTGCAGAAGAAAAAAATTGATTTACATGAGGAATTTTTTTTTAATGATCTCAAATTTTTTGGCTTCTAAATAAAATATTGACATTGATAAATAATTCACCCATAAAAAATACTAGATACTTTTCAATAGCTGAAAAAGTGGGGATGAGTGTCAACTTTCAACTGAAAAGAAAAGAACCTTCCGCGTTTACTTTTTGTCTGGTAATCAAGAGAATGAAAGGTTTTGTTGTGTAAATATCGCTGAAAAATCGCCAGACGGTAATCCCAGCTCGAAGTCGAGTTTTCCGGCGAAACATTCTGTTGACATTTCGAACAGGTGGCAAGCACTAAAACCACCTATATTCTCATCAGCTAACCAGCCACATTCATCCCTCAAAATGCCAGACAAAAAAAAATGACTCCACTAAACAGGCCCTATCTCACGGTCTAAATGTTTTGTTTTCTACTGATGTTGATGTCTGTGCAAACGCATTTATCGAAACAATTAAAGGTCATACGTACTGCCTCTGCTGCTGAATCAAAATATGTCAAAAGCAAAGATAGGAGGCTAAAGCCCTGGATTACACAGGGCCTAATTAAATCCATTAGGGAAAGGGACAGGTTGAAAAGGGTCAGTGTTGTATTAGGAATGGTGGAAACATACAATGAGTTCAGGGAATATGGGAATAGGCTATGTACTCTTATAAAAACCACTAAAAATAACTACTATGCTGAATCTATCAAAAAATAATGCTAAGGACACTTGGAAATATATCAGAGAACTACAAACAAAGAATCTAAAGGGCATACCAATGTTCAGTTAGTGCGATGTATGAGCAAAATAGGGAAATCAGTACAGAATTAGAGATGGTAGAGGTTTTTAGTAGGTAATTATTTTTGTGAGATAGGAAAAACATTGGCGTGGATGAGATAGGAAAATACCAGTGGCGTTAACTCGATCGACTTACGAATGGAGAACCATACGAAAATAATGGATTTTCTTTTTTTTACACATTTCTATGAGATTCTTACGTGAGCTGTTTTCGTTTAACTGTGATATTTTTCCTTTACTTGGGAAAAAATCTAGGTAAGTATATGATGTCCCAAAATCCAAAACTCAATTCTAATTTACTTATCGCCTCCCTGTCTCTGAGAATCAGCACATGAGCACCAAAAACAAAAATAGGTATCTTCTAGTAGCCGTTATAGACACCAGAGCGTTACGCACCACAAGAGGTCCTAATCCTTTAAAATCCAGAAATGGGACTCCAGATCCAGCTCTGTCAGCTCCCAATGAAAAGAGCATTTTCAGGAGCTCCTGGATCTGGGTACCTTTTGAACAAAGTTCCCTCAAAACCATTTGCAGAAAGTTCCTTCCCATCAAGAGGTATAAAAATGAAGAACCATAGGTCGATAGCACAAATATGTTACACTCACAGATCAAAATTGCAGGCATTTGTAACTTGATACGCAAATTGTTACATGACAACGTGCTTTTTTGCGGCCCCCTGTAACGTTACAATCTGAAAACGATAATCCAATCAGTTCTATGATTGATTCGGTCACTAGCAAACGAGCGCCAACGATTAAGGTACCCAAAGCATTTCAATACGCAAGCGTGTGCAACTTGATACATAAATCCAAAACATTGGCGATGGAGCTTTGGGAACTCGAGCCAAATATAAAACGCATCATTCCGGCATCGATCGTGCTTTGCGAGGCCAAACTTTTTCAACTGTCTCGAACAGCTGATTCCCGCACGTGGGAATTGGCAATTTTTGATTATTCGCTTTAGTTATGTGTAAATAATAATAATTTTGTTAACATTTTATTCACGATGGGTAACGCGGACGTAGCCGACAGTGCCAGCGATATGGAACAAACGAAAAGTTTTCTGGCTAGTACCCAGAAAGATGTTGTCGTACCGTCTAGACACGAGGGAGACGAAGAACAAGTACCGGCCGATGGTGGTACCCGGGCTTGGTTGGTTATGATTGGTTCGTTTTTTTGTAACGGGATTTTGTTTGGAGTTATCAATTCTTATGGTGTTTTGTACGATGATTTTTATCAGAGCTTGAAAGCTCAGGGTGTACCCAATGCTTCTGGAAAAGCTTGTAAGTATATCATGATACCGTTGTTCTTAGAATATTGTTTTATCGGGTAACAAGCTATATGCTTATAGCAAATTTTTTAAAAAAATGTTATGTTCCCGGTTTTTTACAATGTAGGTCAAAGTGATGACGCACCTTACACATTAGGAAAAGCGCTATTATTTTCACTCATTTGATAACGTTTTTTAAAATGTTTAATGGGTTCAAAAATTTTGTTCGGCAATTTAAAAAACTCACATAGGTAGCTTTAAATTTTAAAGGTCCAGTAGTAGAAAGCTTAATCCCAATAATAGTAATATTGTCTACCTGGGTCACCAACCTGTGGGGGTTGGTTTAAGAGTTTTAGCCCCAAAACTAGGTAAAATGTTTGTTTTTTCCTTCAGTACAAGTACAAATTTGTACAAAAAAGAAACAGGCTAATAATATTTTATTTTGCTTATAGGTTTAACAAGATTCTTAGGAATTAGTTCCCGATTTTTTTTGTTATCCAAATATTCCAAATCACTTAAAACTAAGAACTTATTTTACATAATTATAATTAGTATATAACTGCGGCAATTTGTATATAAACTAAGGTAGGTATAGATAAGCTAAAACGTTTCAAATGAAAAAATGTTATTTAGTTATGTTTATTGTTGAAAGCAACATTTTCTCAGAAGCATATTATTTGAATGTCACCATGTCCATGAATTAAAAAATAATTAACTTAATAATTGTTTGCATTCAATAATTATTGAAAAAACCAGAAGAACAAATGAAAAAGATGGTCTAATTACAGAACATCGACTTGATAAAATTATTGTCTAGACAATAATTATATTTGTGTATAGGTAAAGAATAATTCCTCAAACTAAAAATATCAAAATCAAACAAATAAATAAACAGATAAAATTTGTGTATTTAAGGATTTGGGCTAAGGTAAGCTTACATTAAACTCTAATCAAATGGTGGCAAGGCATGAGGTCATTATAAAAATAATTCTAATCGATAAAATTGTAAATAGAAACGCGAGCAAGGACTTTAATCTGTATCGCTTTAGGACAAGAGGCAAACCACCTAAGAATTCTTTGTCAAAACTTTTATATTCTTTGGTAATGTGAAAGAATATACCTATGAAAAATTGGAGGAAAGTATGGGAAATTTGGGGAAATTAATTGGATTTAACACTGAGCGTAATAAGAATTGAAAAATACATTTCTTATTACAAACAATTTTGAGAATTTCCAGCGAATTTATAACAGTAGGCATTCGGAGGGAATTTGCGAGCAATTTGGAAGAATTTTTAAGGAATTAGCGAAAAGTTTGAGGAATTCTTTGCAAAAATTCGGGGGGAAGGTTTACTCCATACACCTTGTTCACCTTGGTAGAAATCGAAGTAAAAAAACGTCGAAAAAAACTTTGAAGCTTGAACAGCTAAAAACCTTTCAAGTTGCATTAAAATTATTCACCAAGGGTTTGTGGAGGATCTAATTGGTTTTATTTCAAGCCTAATTTCGTTACGATCGGAGTGAAATTGACAAAATAATGAGACAATATTGTTACGGGTCACAATAGCAGGTCTTTACAAAATAATTAAACAACTAAAGAAACTCCGAACATCTTCTTTCAGGAACCTCGAACCCTCCTGAAATGAAATTTAGGCACTGTTGAGCAGTGGCGGCTCGTCAGAGGAGGCAGGAGAGGCTAAGCCTCCCCCAAAAAATTGAAAATTCAATCTCAGTTTTTTATTCCTGATACCTAATTAAAATAATAATTCACAAATCACACTTTCCAAATTTCGATATTTCAATGTAATTTAGAAAAATCTGACAACATTATTTCAATCAATCCCGCGTTTCCACGACAAAAATCTGTAAATCTGGGATACTCAGTAATACGAGCCCGAATGGAACTCCGACCCGAAGGGCCGGAGTTATACGCGTGCCCGAAGGGCCGGAGTTATACGCGAGCCCGAAGGGCCGGAGTTATACGCGAGCCCGAAGGGCCGGAGTTATACGCGAGCCCAAAGGGCCGGAGTTATACGCGTGCCCGAAGGGCCAGAGTTATACGCGTGGCCGAAGGGCCGGAGTTATACGCGAGCCCGAAGGGCTAAAGTTATTTTAATCACGGGGCCCAGTCTATAATTGTATTGGTCAGTGGATAATTTGGGTGGATAATTCGGAGCCAATCAAAAATCGGGAATATTCAAAATGAGATACATTTCTTATTACAAACAATTTTGAGAATTTTCAGTGAATTTATAACAGTAGGCATTCGGAGGGGATTTGCGAGCAATTAAGAAAAATTTTTAAGGACTTTGGAGGAATTTGCGCAACGTTTGAGTAATTCTTTGCAAAAATTCGGGGGGATGGTTTACTCCATACACCTTGTTCACCTTGGTAGAAATCAAAGTAAAAAGACGTCGAAAAAAACTTTGAAGCTTGAACAGCTAAAAACCTTTCAAGTTGCATTAAAATTATTCACCAAGGGTTTGTGGAGGATCTAATTGGTTTTATTTCAAGCCTAATTTCGTTACGATCGGAGTGAAATTGACAAAATAATGAGACAATATTGTTACGGGTCACAATAGCAGGTCTTTACAAAATAATTAAACAACTAAAGAAACTCCGAACATCTTCTTTCAGGAACCTCGAACCCTCCTGAAATGAAATTTAGGCACTGTTGAGCAGTGGCGGCTCGTCAGAGGAGGCAGGAGAGGCTAAGCCTCCCCCAAAAAATTGAAAATTCAATCTCAGTTTTTTATTCCTGATACCTAATTAAAATAATAATTCACAAATCACACTTTCCAAATTTCGATATTTCAATGTAATTTAGAAAAATCTGACAACATTATTTCAATCAATCCCGCGTTTCCACGACAAAAATCTGTAAATCTGGGATACTCAGTAATACGAGCCCGAATGGAACTCCGACCCGAAGGGCCGGAGTTATACGCGTGCCCGAAGGGCCGGAGTTATACGCGAGCCCGAAGGGCCGGAGTTATACGCGAGCCCGAAGGGCCGGAGTTATACGCGAGCCCAAAGGGCCGGAGTTATACGCGTGCCCGAAGGGCCAGAGTTATACGCGTGGCCGAAGGGCCGGAGTTATACGCGAGCCCGAAGGGCTAAAGTTATTTTAATCACGGGGCCCAGTCTATAATTGTATTGGTCAGTGGATAATTTGGGTGGATAATTCGGAGCCAATCAAAAATCGGGAATATTCAAAATGAGATACATTTCTTATTACAAACAATTTTGAGAATTTTCAGTGAATTTATAACAGTAGGCATTCGGAGGGGATTTGCGAGCAATTTGGAAGAATTTTTAAGGACTTTGGAGGAATTTGCGCAACGTTTGAGTAATTCTTTGCAAAAATTCGGGGGGATGGTTTACTCCATACACCTTGTTCACCTTGGTAGAAATCGAAGTAAAAAGACGTCGAAAAAAACTTTGAAGCTTGAACAGCTAAAAACCTTTCAAGTTGCATTGAAATTATTCACCAAGGGTTTGTAGGGGATTTAATTGGCTTTATTTCAAGCCTAATTACGTTACGATCGGATTGAAATTGACAAAATAATGAAACAATATTGTTACGGGTCACAATAGCAGGTCTTTACAAAATAATTAAACAACTAAAGAAACTCCGAACATCTTCTTTCAGGAACCTCGAACCCTCCTGAAATGAAATTTAGGTACTGTTGAGTATCTTGGTTTGAATTCTAAATATAACTTACCTTGCCCAATGCTTCATTAAATAAAGCAGGTATATCTCCACCATCAGTCATTTTAACTCATTTTTTATCTGAAAATAAGGAATTTAAGTTATTATTTATCAATAGTATACAGGGTGTTCCGAAACTATTGTGCCAAAAATTAAGGGATGATACATCTCGCCAAAATAAAAGTTTTTTACTCATAAACCCAAAGGTGCATGCGCTTTGGTTAAGTAATAATAGCACATTACAGTCCGCGCTGTGGTAGCTACGTTGCGCACGAAGAAACGTGTTTGAAGCAGAAACTGTGTTATTAAATAGTATAGAAATCCCAGGAATGCTTGCAGTATTTATTAAAAACAATGATTCACATCAGAAGATGCTCAAAATTACGACCACCATCAATGCATGCGTAATCCTGCTGAACACGTTGAAAAATTCCTGGCGTTTCGCGAATTTCAGCAGCTGCTGCAACAATCCTTCCCACTAACTATTCCTCTGTTTAAACTGGAGTGTCGTTCACTTTTATATGACATCATAAAAAAAAGTCGCATTCGGTCAGGTATGGTGAACCTGGAGGCCATGCAATAGATGCGCCCTTAACAAACACTCTTTCCAGATTATGTTTCGTTGAGATGTTCCTTTACGGCTTACGAGTAATGTGGTGGACCTCCGTCGTGTTGGTACCACATGTTTTGTCTGGCATACAGGGGACCAATTTCTAACAGTTCGGGAAGGGTTTCCTGCAATCGATATTTTTTCACGTATGCATTGGGGCTTGTGGTCGTAATTTTGAGCATCTTTTGATGTGAATAATTGTAGCTAATAAATACTGCAAGCATTCCTTGGGTTTTGTATTATTTAAAAGCACAGTTTCTGATTCAAACACGTTTCTCTGTGAGCAAGGTGGCTACTACAGCGCGGACTGTAATGTGCTATTATTACTTAACCAAAGCGCATGCGCCTTTGGGTTTATAAGTAAAAAACGTTTATTTTGGCGAGATGTATCATCCCTTTATTTTTGGCACAATAGTTTCGGAACACCCTGTATAAACAAAACAACAAACCATTGAGGTTAAGGTTTTGTTTAAACAATGGTAATGTGAAATTGATACCGATAGAAATAAATTAAGTACCTACTTTGGTTGTTGATCAATGTCATTTAAGAACCCAAATCAAGAAAGACTTATTAGACAATGCTTTTAACTTCACGTTTCCCCTTTGGCTTCCTAGATGAAAATTTAATAACTGATCTTATCGGTTTGATTTTTGGCTCGAAAATTTGAATCTAAACCTGAAATTGAAAAATCCC